CATCCTCCCGCAGGAAGGCCGCTGTCGAAGACGATGCCACATCCAAAACTTGTTCCAAAGTCACCGCCACCAACACTAAGGCTTGTCTTAAAGGTCAAGCCAGCACCAAAGAACATCCTGGATGAAGTGAAGAGACGGAATCCGACAATCATCCTGGTGATCGACCTGCACTTCCAAGGCGACCAGTGATGCGGCCAACTCTCACATCCAATGATTGGTGGTTTGTAACATATGGATCAGATACCGACATCAGCCCCCAGAAGGAATCCGTAACCCCCAAGACCTTTCGGAAACTCAAAATTCCTGACCTTCGTGTACGAATACTACAAGGAGTGCTCAACCATCCTCGAGATCCATCCGGATTTCCACTTCGTCCCTGAGCAGGAACGACCACATGCAGTCAAGGTATTTTGGTTGAAGGCCAGATTCAACGATTACTGGCAGCCAACGATCCAAGGTGATCCTCATACGGAGAAGCAATACATGGACTTCATCAAGAAGGTCTACAGCATCTGCTGCTACACCAATGCTCAATCCGAAGTTTACGGAACCGACATCATCCCGATGGTATGCCACAACGGCAACATTGATCTCGAGAAGACCGTCCAGAATGTCGAACAGGTTTGCAAATGCTTCCGTATGGATCCATCCAAGGCGAAACAGATCACAGATCTCATCCTCTGACGAATTGAGAGAATGAGCAGATCGTTTTGCGGATGTCTTCGACATGATCCAAGGCATGGCATCCATAAAGAATGCAAACGACAAGTGGGCATGGGTCCTGATGGATCCGTTGAGCTCTACGACGCATTGACCTGTATCTCACACGCCAGGAACTTCATTGGAAACAAGCCAGGACTTCTCTTGATGGCTATGTTCCCGAGCTATGGAAAATCACGTTTTGAAATTGCATTCGTGTTTCCATCCGTGGACGGGTCATATAAGGAGCGCAAGGCACGGGGAGAAATTGTTCCAAGGAGTCGGTGGATCGAAAAGCTCAACACAAGATCCGCACAAGATGCACTCAGGCCCGATGGCAAGGAATTCTATGTCGATGCAGAGATGGAGTTCTATGTGAGATGCAACAGCGGACATACACGACAAGTCGAGATCCAATCCTTTGGACGATCCCTGTACTCTGAGCAGCAGAGAGAGCCTCAATACGACGAACCGGACTATGATCTCCCAACGGAATCCATTCCACCAAGTCCGCATCCGTCAAGATCCGAGGCGCCTCATGAAGATGAAGGCACAGCTCATTCCAAGTACAGAATGCGAAGGCCGGCATCCATTGAAGAAGAGAGAAAAATCAAGCCGTTCGCGAAGAAGCCCATCACATTCATGTTCCATGCAACCTATGGAAGTCAGCTCCTCAGCATCATGGAGAACGGGCTCAAATCTGGGAAATCCCAGTCAAACCCTTCGGGGAGAATGCACCTCCACATGGCATGCATCGATGACGTCATCCTCGACGACGATGAGTCAGAAGCCGCATTGACCCATGTGCCAGCAGGAAGAGATGCACTGTTGATCCTTGCATTTCTCAAGGACCAAGACTATGGCATCCGACTCACCGAAGAGCGAACAGCGTTGACAGATCAAACCATCGAGGCAAGAAACATTGTTGCAGCATTTGAACCTGATGGCAGCCTCATGGCGAGCAACAAGTGGATCATGAAGAAGCATCTCAGTTATGAAGATCACGAGATGTACGACACCAAGATCCGTGAATTTGCCGATGCCTTCTTCAATTATGTGAATTCCACCAAGCACAGCAAGGAAAAAGATACTTCCTCAGAGACCAAGAAGCGACGGCATTCCACCGATCAGGACGAAGCTGAAGAAGAGACCATGGAACCCTCCGGGGAAAGATCCGTCAAACCAAAGGTCACCGTGGAATATCACAATTCAGAGAACCTAGATGAGTTCATCCAAGAACTCAAGGGAATCTATCTCGAAACAGATTTGAACAAAAAGGACGCAGAGGAAGAGCTCGCGGAGACCAAGGCAAACCTCCTCCGCTTCATGAGCAAGTACAAGAAAGATCCAAGAAGAGCTCATCCCAAATTGACAGAGTGCGAGAGAGCCTCATTGGCACATGTCGATCCCGATGAAAATCTCGGAGAAGAAGAGTTCTACTTCCCTCATCGAGGAGAATGTCCCACTCTGGACGAGTACAAGCAAGCACAACCAGGATCCGGCTATCCGATCAAGCTTCCACTTGGATTGAAGAAGCTTAAGTCGCATGATGACCCGGAAATCATCCGTGCATATGCCGACATCCTGGGATCGCTGATGCAACCAACCGACCGTCCTCCTGTGGACTATCTCAAGATGCATGAGTTCACCTCATCCATAGCGATCAACATGCTTACCCTGAACCATGGAAACCTCACGAGGAATCCAAAGCTGGACAACAGGGAGGTGTACAACATGCCGATGAAGGATCGACCAATCGTGAAGATGATGATGCAGAACAGTGCACACATCTTGTGCCTGAATGAAGCAGACGCGTTCTTCAGTCCTAATGATGAGAAATCCAGGGAGCTCATCAAGACGTTCATCCGATTCGGGTACAAGGGCATCGTGATCAAGCAATGGTCATCCAGACCGATCGCATGCTTTGTCCGTGGCGGACCTTCTGCAAGAGTGGAACTTTTGGCGAGACACATTTCCACCAAGATTCAGAATTGGGGAACCACATTCGGAATGTTCAGATGTTTCTTCGGAACCGAAGGAAATTGCACTGATCCCGAATACGATATTCCGACCTCGGATTGCTTGGCAACTACGGGACCATCCATGTTTACGGAATCCAAGAAGTACATTGGACCGAGATTGCCAGCACGCACCACTGTCCAAGGACATGGCCGAGACAAGGAGATCGTCGTTCTCCATATCGAGCAGAGTGATGAGTTTCGTGGCATGATCCCGAAATCATCCAACAAGTCACTCCAAGAGTATGACGACCGCCACACAACGAGGGCAGATCTCCCATTTGCTACCATTGGAGTTTTCCACATTCATCCTTCAATCAGCCATGGAGCAGCACGGGAAGATCTTCAGAATGAAATCATGCCGTTCGTGACTTTGTACCGATGCGATGCGACCACCGGAGACGCCAACAAATCAGCAAATACCTACAGCAAACTCCAGCACGGCTTCAGTCCGGCCAACGGTCTCGTGAACATCCTCATGAGAGCATATCAGAGACTGTGGAATGAAACGAAGAATTTGCCACTCGTGGACAGAATGGAGTGTGCAATGGAGACTTCGTGCACCCTGAAATCCATTGTCCGTCATCACCTGTACATGAAGTGTGGATCAGGATATGATCGAACATTCCCAGATGTGATGATGACTTTCGGGGCAAAACGAACATCCAGCAGGCTTTCCGGAAGGACGAGATGAACGGCATGGAAGATGAACAACTGGAACTCATGCGGAACGATCCAACCAAGGCCATATTCGATTACCAGGTCTCATCCGCAGAGCGTTGTAAGCACGTGAACAATGACATGTTCATGAATGGCTCGCAGGACTCCGACTCGCACAGTCCCCTCATGGTTTACATCCGCAGCAAATCTGCAACCAGGCAACGCAACTTTGAGAGATCCCAGGAGTACCTCAAGAAGAAGCAAGCCTGGACCCCGCAGGAGTACAAGGACTACAACAAGCAGTGGGGACATCAGAAGCAGTGGAAGGACTATAGCACTTCGACCTGGAATGATTATGGAGACTATGGCAGTCAATCCGACAGCAGCCGCCGATGGTATCGTCGATCCGACTGACCATGAAGATTCATACGTTCAGCACCACGAACTCAATTCAGATGATTGATCCTCGCCGTCTACAAGACTATACTACAGTGAGAGATCAATAGTTTCACAATCGTCCCGCGTGTACATAGCATTGTACATCACCTTTTGATACATCTAGGTATCTCAAAAAGAAGCAGTACTTAGTGTTTCCCATTTCGAAAGCCAAGACATTTCATCCGAGCAGAAAAGAGGATGAATCCGGCATTTTTAAATACACATGGCTATGGCATACAGCATGGCTACGGCATACATCAAGGCTACGGCCAAAGGCCATGAAGCCAATAGTATTTCATACTTAGTGCTGGAGATCAAAAGAAATTTGTGTCTGTTTTGTGTTTGGTTTACTGAACACTTGATCTCCTGCAACATTTGGCTCAAGGCCCCTTTTGTGTAACATTGCATCATACATGATCGCGTGAAGCAAAAGAACCTTTGCAGGCCGCTTACAGGATTATCCACAAGACAATCCACCAGGGACAATCCATCCTCCAATCATCCATAGTGGCATATTGGATTCTCTCCGCAATAGAGATCCAGGGACCAAATCAACGACCTCTACTACCACAAGGTACCAGTTGAATACCCTAGGTATTTGACGTCGGGCGGGGGGGTAAGGGGGGGGGTTATCCTCTATCCTCTAGTATGTATCCGACACGCCGAACAATGTCGGCGGACTCTGTTGGTGGATCTCCAAAAAGACCGCCCTGTAGCGAGCCAAATCCGGCCCCAATTTGACCTAAGACTTGGTTTTGCCTGGTGCATACCACCTTTCTTGATTTGGCCATGAATTGTGTTAAGAAACCCCCTGGAAAGTGGTTAGTGGACATAAACTTCCGCCTAAATGATGTCCACCACAAAATCCCTAATTAAAGTTCAGACCCGTTTTGACTTTGGCTTCCGGCTTGAGGTCCCCAAGTGTATTTACATACATCATAGGCTTTAATCCCACCTCCCCAAAACCAGCCCCCCAGCGTGTTTCCCCAAAACGAGGCGGAAGTAGCAACGACTTTGGGAATTGGTCCAGCTGATTGCTGAACTAGGTCCCCCAGCAAGGTGCCCTTTTACCAACTTTGGGGGAGGGGTCCCCTAAGTAGACAAAACGGGAAAAAGTTGGTACCAACTTATTCTAATCTGGACCTAGTTTAAGAAAAAGACCTTGGCCCCCATCCTGTTGCTCAGAATGGTGAGTTCCACTGGCTGCCTGGGGCGGTGGTCTCACTCCTCGCGCTGGTGTTCTTCCTTCTGGGTCAGGCCTGTGGGTTCTTCTCCCTGTGTGTGGCTCAAACATAGAAATCGTCCCAAATGAAAGGCAACCTGGTAGAAAGGTCGACAAAAACCTGCGCTACCCGCAGCTGGCTCATGTTGAGCGACTTTGGATTAGGATGCCAGCTCAATACTAGGGGTCTAAAATGTAACCCTGGCAAATGGACAGGTAGACCCTACAACCTGTTCATTTTGAGCCACCACACCCGGTTGGATATGCCGAAAAAACGGGTGTCAGCTTCCCTCAAACTTGCACTTCGGAGGTGTTCCGGGCCTGAGCTCCCCCACTTGCCCTCTAGCAGTTTAAACCCCTATCCAAAGCGCCAAAGGGCAACTTGAAGTTCTTCCTGGCCTCATGGGTTGTTGTAGAACTAATTCAGGGTAGCCTGAAGTTTGTTCTAGAACCTTATAAACATGTTGGTCAAAGGGGCTGCCTTCTGCATGTGTCATACACCCTTTTCCTTGAGATAGAGTTGAGGTTGGTCTGCATGGTTTCATACCAGGGGTTGTCGCTGAGAGTATGATTCAAACCGGAGCATGTTCAACCACAGCAGTGCCCAAAGCAGATTTTCATTCGGCCATTTTAGTAGTCGGCTACGACTTGGTGTAATTTGGTTCATAAAAAGCCTTACAAACCTCAACCATCATCTGAGTAGAACGAATCATTTGGTTTTGGGCGCTCATGGGCGGGAGAGGTTCCACTTGCCTGAGACCTTTGACATCATGTTGCCCTTCTGGTTTGCTGCGCTTTCCCGAGACCTGAAAGTAATATTGATACCCCCCCCCCGCTGCAAACTGCAACCACTTAGGACCTGGTTATAATGATCAGGGCCGCCGTTCATCCCCCCCCCCTCGCACCCAGCAACAAACACACACACCCACACACACCCACACACACCCACACGCACACGCACACGCACACGCACACGCGCGCACAGACAGACAGACAGACAGACAGACAGACAAAGACAGACAAAGACAGAGAGACAAAGACAGACAGACACACAGACAGACAGACAGACAGACAGACAGACACACAGACAGACAGACAGACAGACAGACAGGCAGACAGACAGACAGCCAGCCAGCCAGCCAGCCAGCCAGCCAGCCAGCCAGCCAGCCAGCCAGCCATCCAGCCAGGCAGGCAGACAGACAGACAGACAGACAGACACACACACACACACAGACACTTTGGACGGAGACAAGAACAGACCAATTGGCTCCTTTCGAGGGAACATGACCCGCAAACCGCGAGTTTTGACCGGCCACAACACACATCGCAGAAAGCGATTGAAAAATGGACTCTGTCACCGTCCTTAAAACTGGGTGGGGCTGATGAAGAGCCATTTGGGTGCGAGGCAGGGGGGGCGGAGGGGGGGGGGCTTTGCGAAATTTCTCGCTGGAGGTGTTCACCACCAGAGTGAGCATCGATGTGCTGGAGCACTGCAATCCCGAGGGCCTGAAAGAATCCTCCAAGCGGCTCGGCAACGACAAACCTGAGCCCTGAATGAAATCCAGCATTGGTGATTTTTTTTATTTTTTTTAAAGAAACCAAAAAGGAATCTCTGGTTGTCATTATTTGTTCCAGAGCCCCCCTATGTCCAAGAATCCCGGCAACCCAACGTGAAATGGAGGAAAGAGTACTAGAAGTTTGCTAAATAAGCTCAGGTCATATCCCCAACAGCATGCGGTGCTCTTTTTAGTGCTCGCACCACCCCGCAGCCCTCGCAGAACCTCGTGGAACCCTGGTGGAACCCTCGTGGAACCCTCGTGGAACTTGCCTCAGGGCCGCCCCGGACCACCACAGAGCCTATCTGCTCTGAGACCCCAAAGCTTTCAGCTGCTGGCGAAACAGGACCAACGGGGGGAAGAACAGGTAAAATCCAATAAATATCATCCAAACCGTTTTCTCGAAGGGTATTTTGGCAACCATGATGAGGATTCCCGTGGAGGGCGTGACCATGGCCAACATGTTTTGAATTGTTAGCATGGCAGGTATCCGCAAGTCGTTCTTTCACGGCACCCATTTCGAGCTTGTTTCATTTCCAGGCGGCCCAAAATTATTTTGAAGAGAAACTGGTTTGTGGTTCATGTTGCGCGGACGTGGGGGTGCAACACCGTTGTTTGTTGGTCGATGTTTCTTCAGCCTGACGTCCAAGGAATGTTTGGACCAACGTGGGCGTGACATCAGCGCTCCTCTGACGCAGGGAGCGAGGTAAGGGAAGGGAGATTCCCGGCGTCCGACCAAGCAGCTCAGAACCGCTGCCCGTTCACGTACCTCAACGGAAGGCAACAAGGAGGTTGTTCTTTTTTCAACCAAAAAGATATTTTGTTCCTAGGCGCGTGGGTGTTTGGAGTCCGATCCGACCACATCCAACCGCAACACTCGGACCTGTGAACTACGGGGGGCCTTGTCCCATGCAATCTTTCGGGAATCCAGCGAGCCATGGGGAGGTGTACTGCTTGGGAGTTTCCTTCCAATTTGTTGGACGGCTCAGTTCTTGGGGCAAATGCAATCCGCAAGATCCTTCCCTTGGGTTAAGTTCAGGGGGTGCCTTTGTAGTTCCTCAGCTTGTTTCTAAGGATTAAGGATTTGGATTGGTCAACTCTCCATTTTGATCAGCCCAGTTTCATTTCCCACAGATTGTCATGAGTTTCGCAAGACTTGCCGACAATCCATATTGGGCAACTGACTGTGCGAATGCACACGCCCAGGAGGAATCAGCCCCTTGTCTTTGGGGCACTCCCGAAACATATCATGGATACATATGGATACGGTGGTTTTGTGGCTTGAAAGGGAAACCAAAATAAAGATCCACCTTTTTGGGGGTGCCCTAAAGAAGCATCTGCCCATATAAGATAGACCAAAACAGAAGCTATGCATTGAGGAAGGAGCTGTTGCGCGATGAACGGGATTGCGTGAGACCTCGGCTAGCAACCGGCGAAACGGGGCCAAATTCCAACCAACTCCAATTCAGACCCGTGGGCCCAGATTGTGTCCCCAGAAAACCAAAGGGGCACAAGTCGTTTTTTTTTTTTACGCCAACGGATGGATGATTCCAATCTCCCTGGGAAGCCAAAGCGGAAATGCTTCGCCCTTTTTTTTTGCCAGACACCAAGTCGCTCAGATTGGTCTTGACCATGGTGATGGCCATGTTGCAGCTGGATCCCATCGATCCTCGGGGCTTCTCTTTGGAGGCCTACGAGACTCGGAGGCCAAGCGGATCGAAGGTCTATGGGGTCAACGCGGGGGAAGGTCAGCCAGTGGTGTTTTCTTTTGGCGGTTTACGGTGATGTTCCTATCGGTGGGGTCTTCAAATGAAAGTGGTCTAGGCAGGCGATGATACTGGGTAAACAAGGGAAGCCACTTGTACAAGCCCAGACAGCCAGTGGTGCCCTTTTGCATTCTTTCTTGAGGGGGTGGGCCGTTTTTGAACGAACTACTTTTCGGTGACACGCCCTATTAGACCCGACGTCACAACAGGTTGAATGATGCGGATGGGGGTGGAGGGGAGGTTGGAGGGTGGGGTGGAATCAAGTCATGGTATCTGTCATACGACATGGTGTGTTTAATTATTTTGACCACCAAATGTGTGTTCCCGACCTCACCGGTACCAACTCCTTGTCCACCCGGGCTTGGGAACACCATTTGCACTGGGCATGAGCCACCTTTGATCCGAAAGGGACCCCTGCGGGGCGTGTGTGCGTGCTGACTTCCAGAGTCACCGTGGCCAGGTGACCTCCAACGTACATTCTTACGAAAAAGATAAGCAGCCTTGGCAAAGGAAGCATGACTGGACCCTATCCCGGCCTTCGGGATTGCGTCCTTGAATCACTTGAGGCTCACGGCAAACCAGGATTTTGAGGGTTTTCTGAACGTCTGCCTGCCAGCTGTTGCAGCAAGTGGGTAGAGATGCCAAACTATCCACATACTGTCATTGTTTCTCAGCCCCCGAGCTAACGATTCTTGACCCCTTTCATTTCGGCACGAAATTTTCCGGGCAGACTGGGCTTTGTACATGGAATCGCGCTTCAGTTTCTGGACTTACAGTTCCCCGTGTGCCTCCCGTGGTCCTTGAAAGGATGTCTGCCAATGGTTCAACACGTGTTTTCCTTCTTTTTTTGTTTGACGGGTTCACCATTAAACATCTTCGACTCCGAAAAAAGACATGGATCCATTCTGCACTAGGTTTGGTTTCAAGGGTTTTTTCCCCATCCACTGCGTTACCCGCCCGAGGAGATTGTCCACCTGCACCAGTGGTATGGTTGTTTCTGCGCCCCGGACGCACATCGCCTCGGCTTCTCTGGGCCTCCAACTCTCGGTGGGGCAAGAAACGAAGACAAGATGTAGGTCCTTCGCTTGGGGGCCAAACTCTGTTTCTTGTTTTTTTTTTTGTTTTTTTTTTTGGGGGGGGGGGTTGGGATTGGTGACTCGCTTTTTAGGCTTTTTGGTTGTTGTTGTTTTTTAAAGGTTTTTGGGATTGGTGATTGGGATTGGTGATTGGATGTTTGAGGATGCCCCTTTTCATCTTGGCTTAAAGAGAAACCCCCGCGCTGTTGCTTTATGGGGAGCACCTGCTCGTATTTATTCCTCCTCCACGGGGGTAAACCAGATTAGCGCATCATGGACGAACAATGTGTGTAATTCATGATGTTGCCCCTCGTGTTCTTCATTTATGTCCCGAAATTATTTGAGTCTCACTTAGCGGAAGCCGGCATGTTAGCCTTTTCCTATGGTCCATTGTTAGTCACCAAAACAGCAGCTCCAAGCCACGAAAAGGGCGGCCACAACTCATGGGCAAAAAAGGGCGAACTAAAAGGTTATTTGAAGATTGATCCCCGTGGCGTGTGTCTTTCCGTACCGTTTCGCGTCTTTCAGAGGGGATTCACAGCGGATCCAACCCCCCAGCCAGGTATTTTCTGAATCCAATGCGACGTAATGACCAAGGCCACGCTGAAGCCATGGTTCCATCTGTCTCGAACCAGCCTGAATCCCGCAAGGGCACCTATGATCCAAAGCATACCGTGGACAGACAGGATTAGGGTGCTTCCAAAAATACAGGGGTCCCCTTTTGGATGGTAGTTAGAGTGGAATCAGAAGGAAGCCAACCGACCAACCAGCCGACCAACCAACCGAGTGAAGACGGGCGACCCGCAGTTTGGCAGGTTGTGTTGAATGGTTGTGGGTCAAAACCAATGGTAGCATTTTGGGGTAGGTGCACCACCCATTTTAGAACCTATTTTAGTGAGGATTGGGATGTTGACTGGGGGTACGGATTTGATTTTGACCCATGGCCAAATGGATTCCCCCCTTCAGGCCTCGCATCGCTGCTGTGCAATCTCCTGTGCATCATGAGCTGTGCTCCTCGGCGAAGCTTTGTGCGACTCGAAATCTCGGTGAAGTTCCCCGTATTGGAGTCTTTGGAAGGCAATGCCCTGAACCTTTTGGTACCTCAATGTGTTTTTTTGTTTGTGTTTTCCCGCTACCCAGTGTCTGGGACTGTTTTTCCGACTTCGAGATTTTCTAATTTTTTGAATTGCCAGACCTGCAGTGCCCTGTCTTGCTGCTTTTTGTAGGGGGGGGCCTAGCACCACAAGGCTGCCCTCTTGGAAATCCGGAGGTCGATACATTTGATGGGCCGACCCAAGAAAACGCTTTCACGTGGGCGGAAACAGAAATGGGCTCCCTTTTTTTTCACCCTGCGAACTTGCTTTTTTTACCCTTCCTTTTTTTCAACCCTCAAACCCTGCGTGGGAACCGTCGGCGGGAACCTTGTTTCTCCAACCCTGAGAAATCCTTTCTTTTCAACCCCTCACCTTGTTTTTTTCACCCTTTGCCTTGTTTTTTTCACCCTCCGCCTTTTTTTTTCACCCGCGAGCTTGCTTGTTTCACCCCGCAACCTTGTTTTTCTCACCCTAAACCTAAAACAACCAAAGCCCGCCCCGCACCCAACCCAAACCAACCCTAGGCCCGCCCTAAGCCAAACCTTGCCAACCCTCAGTATCTCTAAATCAATCTCAAACCAGCCAAACACGCCCAAACCCGCCCCAAACCCACCCTACACAACACCCCCTAAACGAGCCCTAAGCAAACCAGAAACGTCTTTTCTCCAACCCTAAACCCACCGCAAGCCAAGCTACACACACCCTACACCACCACAAACCTACTCGAAACCACCCTAAAGCATACATAACCCACCCCTAACCAATCCCAAACCGACCCTAAACCAACCCTAAGTCAACTAACTAAACCAACCCTAAACCAACAAGCCAGTCCTGCACCCACCCTAAACCCACCCTACACGAACTCTAAACCCACCCGAACCTTGATCCAACCGTAATCCCACCCCACACCTTAAGCTTAGCCTAAGCCAACAATAAACCCACCCTAAACCCGCCTAAACCCCAATCCCACCCTAATCTAGCCTTAATGCGACCCTAAGCCCAACCTAAACCAACCCTGAACAGACCCACCGACCCAAAACCAACCCTCAACCCGAAAACGACCCTAAGCCAATCCTAACCCAATCCTAAACCCACTCTAAACCCAGCTTTAACCAATCACGAACCACCCCGAAAACCGACCTTAAACTCAAGCCCAGCAAAAACCAACCCTAAACCAACCTTGCCCCCACCCCAAACTCACCCAAAAACAACCCTAAATCCCCACCCTAACAACGCTAAACCCACACTAAACTCAAAACCAACCTAGGCCAGCCCGACACCAACCCTAACCAACCCTGAGCCACTCCAAAGCAACCTTAAACCAACCATAAGCCCACCCTGTACCAACCATGAACCCACCCTGATCCAACTCTAAGCGCACCCTGAGACTCTAAGCTGAGCTTGACCCAACCCTAAATCCAGTGAAGCCAAAACCAATCCACATCCACCAACCCTGAACCAACCTACATCCAACCCAAAACAAACGAACAACATACCCTTAAACACCCTACTAAGCCACCCTTGAGCGACCCCAAGCCTCCCCTAGCGCAATCCCAACTCCACCCTAGACATAGACAAACCGTAAACCCGCCCTGAACCAACCCTACAGCCACCACAGACCTACTCCAGACCACCCCACCGAAATCCTGCTCTAAATCTACCTAATCCAACTCTACACCCGAAGCCGACCCCAAACCCACCTCAAACAGATTCTAAGCCAACACTAAATCCACCCTAAATCCACCCTGAAGCCTTTCGACGCACGCCCTAATCCCACCCTAAACTAACACCATGTAAATCCAACATTAATCCCAAGCCTGACCTCACCCTAAACCCATTCTAAACCCCCCTTAACCAACCCTAAATCTATCCTAAACCAACCGTAACCAATCATAAACCCACTGTAGACCCATTCTCCAAGCCCAAAACCCACCCTCATCCAGCTTTAAACCCACCATATACCCAGCACAGACCTGCTCGAAACCAACCTTAAACTTAAACCGACCACAAACTTGCTCAACAAACCCTACCCCGCCTCTAAACCCTTAAATCCACCCTTCCCATCCGAAACCAACCCTAAACCCACCTACCCCCCCCCCGCCCGAACCCACCCTAAACCAACCCTAAGTCCAAAACCATTCCTAAACCAACCCAACCCCAAACCGTTGCGTAGTGCAGTTGCCGCAAACTTCGGCCACAGGGATGGCAAAAAAGAAATGGAGGGTTAAAAGGAAGAGGTGGAGGGTCAGAAAGAAAGGGGGGAGGGTTAAAAAAGAAGGGGGGAGGGAATAAAGAACGGGGGGAGGGTTAAATAGAAAGGGTGAAGGGTTGAAAAAACAGGGAAGGGTTGAAAAAAAAGGTTTGGAGGGTGAGAAAAAAGGGTTCCCCCTCCGAAATGTACTCCTTGATTGGTGGATTTTTTCTTGGATCTTTGGTCCCTAGGGATGTTATTTATTTCCAAGGCGGCTGGTTTCAGGATTCCCTTGCTGGTTTGGATGTATGGTTTTGCGAGCCCCTCTTGAGAAATGCGAAGCCTCACCAAAGCGTCTGGGAGGCTGAATAGCAACCCCGAAAAGTGGCTCAGTTTGTCCTTGGGGTGAACACTCGGGAAATGGAAGGCCCCCCCCACTTCCCCTGACGGGAAAGTGGGAGGTCTGGGGGTAGATCAAAACCGGGGACAGTCTGTATCTCTTCTGTATCTCTTTGATTGCACCCTTTTCAAGGGTTGCTCTATGCGGTTTCCCATACCCGACACTTGGGTGTTCAAACGCGACTAGGAAGTAGGTTATTACCAGGGTCATACGTGGACCAAATCCACCACTTGTTGGTGTTTCAATCAGGACCAGTACCGCTGCCAGATTTGCTGCTTTGAATTTCCTCTGGACCACAAACGCAGGTTCTCATATCTGGGGACCCCCAAGTTGACAAGTTCTCCTATGGGTCCTAGTCAACCATAAGCCTAAGGCTTTGGAGGCATCCGACCTGCGGGTTGGTTCACCCGCGCTTTCAGGTGATCAACCTGAGCTACGTGGATCCTCTGTCCGACATCGACGCCATCAAGTACTTCCTGCGCCGGATTGACTCCATCGGTGATCCTGTGCCCCGGTCGCAGAAACCAGGCGACAGGCAGGTGGATGGATCCCTAAAATAGAAAGCAGAGCAGCTCCACCCGTAAAACTCGATCCCTTACCCAGAGCGAATCGACCTGAAATGACCTTGCTCGTTTCCCCCTGTTAGTCCATTTTTGGTCATAGCCCCAAAAGGTTAGGCTTTTTTTTTCCGGGTTCGTTGGGCAACTGAGAAAAGCCAGAGGTAAGAATACCGAAGGGTTACTACAACAAGAAACTCTGATCCACTATAGTGGCATTGTAATTCCCCAACCATGGTGACCTGCTTGAGCATCCATTGGCACAGCTTCTGAGAGTTGGGTACTCCCCCTCGTGAGTTCCTTCTGTTGGGAATGGGAGGGCGTCCGGCCTTCCGCTACGGAAGATAAAGGCAATTGAGTTCCACAACCCTATGGAGAAACCCAAAGTTGAATGGGTTTCCCACACCCACATTTCCCAAAGTTTCAGATGATTGCATTTTCTTCCAACCCCAAACCATTTGTTTTGTTTTTTTTTTTCCTTTCTTTCTTTTAACGGTTTGACATATTCACCAAAAACCCAGGTTGGGGGTTGCAAAACCAGGTTGTGTGTGTCCCCTTGCAGAAAACATGCGCTAAACTAAACCATTCCTTGTTCATCGGGCACAAAGCGCAAGGCAGCTGGTCAACGGGATAGAAATTCCCGCTTTCTCGCTGGTGACCTGCAAACGGTGATATTCTGCATTCCCCACCCGAGGCGAAACATCTCTGGGCCCATTTGAAGTGGGTGTTTCTCACAATGGCCGTCCCCTCAAGCAGTTGGTTTCCTCCCTTGAAAACAAGCCAAAATCATTTTGAGAGGCACCCCCACAAGGAACTCTGGGTTTCCCCTTTTCCTTTGAAAACCCCGTAGTAAAATAGGGACCCTCCAAAAATGCTTGAGCATGGATCCCCTAAATCATCCAGCCAAAATTGTCGGATTCCTTTAGGTGTCACTTCAAACACCCGTTGTAAGTGGCTGCTAAACCCCAAGGTTACCGGCGTGGGCCAAACATCCAACTGGGAACCCCGTTATTGAATACACCCGTTCTCTACCAACGTGATCCGGATTCTGAATAAACGGGACAGAATCAAGAAGCGACGAACTCAGTTTTCCAGTTGTTTTCTCTTAGCGTTTTTTAGCTGGGAACCCTTATAGTTGGTGGTGTGGGTTGGTGGTTTGGAAATGCATTTGAACCCCTGGTTTTTGTAGAGGGCGAACTCCAAGAAATACCAAAGGAGGGTAACCCAACTTTTAACGCAGGCCTTCATGATAATGGGCATGATGAATTCAGCCGCAGATTCAGGTACCCCAACGTGCAAACCACTGTGCTCCAAACTACGAGACGAGGGAAGCCGCACAGCTTTTAGCCGCCCCTCCCTCTATTTTTTTGGTAGAAGGGAAACCCCAAAAACATTTCACCACGCAACCACCCCCAACGTCCAAACCACCGTGCTCCAAACCACCAAACGAGGGAAGCCGCAGGTGAACCACAACAAGATTTCGCCACAACCACCAAAACCATCCAACCCACCAAACCAAAAACAAGAAGTAATGTAACCCCTCCATCTCAGCCTCCCTCTTTTTTCTAGGGACACCCCAAAAGCACCACGCAACCACCACCACCAAACCAGGGAAGAACCCAACCCCTCGTTTTTGTTTCACCACACAACCAAACGAGGGAATTGTGTAGCAGGGAAACCCCAACCACCACCACCACCACGAGGGAAGCGAGCCGAAACAAGCCGAAGCGAGGTGATGTTCATGATGGAGTCCTTCGTCTTCTTCTTGGCCGCCATCTGCGTTTGGGTCCTGGGCACCTTCGGCCTGGTCATGGGCATCCTGCTCCTTGACGTCTCTTGGGCCCCGCCCTGGGAACGAGGCGATTCCCCTCAACCAGGTAAATGCCAAGGAACGCCGTATGGTTTCAACCCTGGGTTTTATTCATGCCAAGGAACAATGATTGGTTTCAACCCTGGGTTTCAATGCGAAGAATGGTTTCAACCATGGTTTTCAAGTGCGAAGTGGATTCTGTTTGGCTTCCAACGGTAAATGCCCGTCCTACGTGGCAAGGTGTTGTGGTCGGGATGTGGCTTCCATTCTCAGTCGCGTCCACTCGCTGAAGTGAATACTTGTTTTACTTTCCCCTGTTGGTTTCTATTAAAGGAAATCTATGCCCTAATGGAGGGTAGAAGTACGAGTCACACTGTATCAAGATATCAGATCGTTTTTATGCCGTGTATGTTCAATTCCTTCGTGAGGCTTTCTGTTGCTCAGGGAATGAGAAACAGAAGGACCCCAAGAACAACCATCCAACTGGTGGTTGCCTTTAAGGGAACCCCTGGGTTCATTCCCACATTCCCCACTGAGCGCCAGCGATTCAAAGGTGTTCCTTTTGTTCCCCTTTCAAACGACCAAAATCCAAAATGAGCCACAATCACAACCCGGTAGATGAAGGTTAGTAAGGGGCAGCCCCAGCCAGAAATAGTTGCGGCCGCCTTCTTAATTCTTTATATGGTTCTGGGTCAACCATTTTAATACCGCGTTTTGATTGTGGCTCAAATGGCGTGGGTTTTACCTTTTGGTTTGAGTTCCACGAGTCAGCGAACCACAAAGGAGCCTGGTCTGTTTGATCGTCTTCGTCTATACAGCGCCTCGGGAGATGAGTCCAGACGCTCCGAGCCCTAAACGAAATTGGGTTTGAAGGCCACTTTCTGTGCCTCGGGAATTTTCTAAAGTGAGGGTAGCCTCAACAAGATGGGAGTTCCACTTTGGTATCACAGAATGGCCCTATTTCCCACATGAGGGGATCCCAAACGGTTCATCCCAAAGCCCGAGCTAGATTCTCCTGAGAACCAAGTTGTGCGAATCACAAAGCTGGGTCCTACCAGAGTTGCTAAACGTGTGTCAGCCATTTGGCAACTTTTGAAGGGGAACCAACATGTTTTAACAGGCGTTTAAACATGTCTACGCAGGGGGTTGGGGATAACATGTTGAAAGTCAGAAAACTGGGTCCCTTACACTGGTGGCCTCTTCAACAATACGCCTGGGTCCCGGTGGTTTCCCTTTGAACCACCATTTAGAGGTAATTTTGAGAATGTCGCTGCAGTGGACCCAGTAAAACCCTTCCCACCCTCCAAACACTCGTGAAACAATATGCTTTGGTTGAGTATATGTTCTTCCTAGACCAAAAGGATGCCATTTCGGGGCGGTGTGCACCCGCTGGTCGATCTCAATGGGCGCATAGCTCCGTCTGGTTGGATTTGTGGCATGTTCCCAGCAAGCCAATGCATTGAGGGCCTTCCAGCATAGAAACTCGTCCGGAAAACCCGGCGAAAGACGCGCGGGCGCCCCGAGAAAAAAATCCGCCCGCGATTTTGGGAGTTGCCGATGGAGAAAAGCTGAACAGGAACAAGTCCCATTCCCACGTTTGACACGCTGGAGTTACTTGGAGTTTGGGTTTGAGCCATCCTGACTGCACAGTATTGCTAGTTGCGGGCATAAGCTGTAGTTTTATTCACCCTGTTTCTGGTTAAGGATTCCCTTCCAAAGTCTTATCCTTCTGCCAGGGTCTTAGCAATGTTGAGGGCACTGGTTGGTTCTCTATAGTGAGCACCCGTGTGTATGCGATTTTAGGGGACAACCTATGGTTTGCTGAAGTGAAGTGAAATCAACACCAATGTTTGCGCTCATTTCAGGTAGCCGTTGGCCCCCTTTGTGACGAAGTGGGTCACATTGGTCAGGTGAAGGCGAGCTTTGTCAATCCCACTATGGAATGTTGACCCCATGATCAACCCCAGTTGATTCATTGATGAATAGGGGGTGTCCCCGAGATTACTTCTGGAGAAGAACACCCCCCTATTTGTAAATTGGGGTTGATTCATATGGGATCAACATCATGGAGAATGGGCAGGTCTAGTCATAAAGCCGCTCCATTAACTGAGTCCTTTTTTTATGGGAGTATCTTTCATACTTGGGCCCAGGCGTGTTTTCAGTAGATTACCGATATGAGTTCCTCGTCTTTGGGTTTGTCCCCGGTCTTGCCCACTGTCCAAACGGGTTCGCCTTCGGCTTCCCGTCGGGAAACAACGGGCCTTGGCGAAACCCCGTTCAGCGGATTTCGCGCATCAACCACCACGAAATTGGTCGAAGCGGAGCGACTGGAGTTGGCCTTGAACGTTGGGAGGACCTTTCACGCTCTCAAACTCCCGGATTGAGCTGGGGCAATGTCTGATGTTTATGAGACAGCAAGCTTGACCGAGGCTCCATATCACAAGTTAGCCTCCAACAATGGAAGCTGGCAGATCGGGGTTTGGGGTCACAATCCTTTCCTTTTGGTTCCTGTTTTGGTTAGAACCCCCCCAAAAAAAAAAAACAGAAAGGGACCCTGTGAGCGTTGGGTTTTTGCACACACCTAATTTTGCTGCATTCTGGCCAAAACCGAGGAAAAAAAGGATTCTGGGACAATGTGCTGGTATCATGCAAACAGTTCTCCACCTTACCCCCCCCTTGCAGATGTCAGGCTCCTGTCCAAAACCGAAAAAAAACATCGAGAAATCGAAAGATTCTGGGACAATGTGCTGGTATCATGCAAACAGTTCTCCACCTTACCCCCCTTGCAGATGTCAGGCTCCTGTCCCAAACCGAAAAAACATCGAGAAATCGAAAGGTTTTGTCCAAAACCAAAAAAAAACCTCGAGAAATCGAAAAAAACCAAAAAAAACCAAAGATTCTGGGACAATGTGCTGGTATCATGTAAACATTCTGTTGGCCAGATTGGTTTTTTTGGTTTTTTTTCGATTTCTCGAGGTTTCTTTCGGCTTTGGACAAAATCTTTCGATTTCTCGATGTTTTTTTTTGATTTTGGATGGTTTCTTTCGAATTCTCAATTGTTTTTTTGATTTTGGACACCTTCTTTTGATTTCTCGATGTTTCTAAGGCTGCCTGCAGCCAAAGCTTCAACACAGGACAGCTTTGCAAGGAAGAGCTTAGAAGGTTTTCAAACACCAAACAACAAGAAAACCAAAAGGTGTGGCCAGCCCGACAACACAGCTTCAGGTGACAGCAAGCCCGACAGAGTCCTTAGCTTCCAGCCAGCTTGCACCCAGCCCCAGCCCAGCTAGCTTAGAGAAGAAACAGTTCAGCATAAAGAAGTTTTTGGAACACCAGAGCAGCAAGCCAAGGAGATAGAGCTTGTGCTATCTAACAGGGTAGTTCCATACCAGCGGCAGCAGCAGAGCAAGCTGCAGAAAGAAGCTGCACTAGTGAAGTCAGCTTACCTCCAGAAGCAAGCAGAGCTGGAGAAAGAAGACCCAGAAGAAGCTGTAACAGGCAGACAAGGTGGCAGGCCTCCAGTTCTGGAAGCGCGTAGAGGAACTGCAGGTGGGCAGTTAAGCAACAGGAAGAAGGAGACAGACCCTTCCAGGAAGCAAGAGCTTTTTGCCTTTCAGAAGATGAAGCTTAGTGAAGAGATTCAAATGATTCTGGAAGAGTCTCAGCCTCAGAAGCAGAAGCTTGGGCAGTTGCAAGGAGAAAGTTCAAGATGAGCACACAGAGGCTGGAAGATTGCAGAAGAGGTTTGCCAGAGCAGCTAGTGGAGGGAGAAAGAGAGAGTTTAGCAGAGAGATCTCTCAACTTGGCAAGTGGTTGCAGAAAGAAAGGAGTTATAGCCACAACGTTTCAAAGAATGAGCTGCTGAAAGAGTTCTTTGCCCTTCTGGTTGCAAGGGCAGAGAGATGCATGGTCAGGGCAGAGCTTTGCAGAAATGAGATGCAAAGGAAAGCTTGGCTGAAAGAAGCTGACTGTGCCCTACAGAGAAAGACCAAGCTCCAGCAGAGCTCAAAGTATGCAGCTTCTTATGTAGAGAAGCTGATCCAATGGCTAGGTGCAGCTTACTTGGGCAAAGATCAGACTACTCGCCTGGCACCAGTTGAAGAACAGGCGCGGGCCCAGCTCACCTTCCAGGATATTGACAGAAAGTTCTGGCATCTAGGCGCTTGCTCCAGTTGCTGAGATTGAAGATGCACATTTGGTTGCAGATGCAGAGATGATAGTTAAGAAACGATCCTCGCTGGTAATCGGCACGAGTGATCAAGTCCCACTTTGGGCCAAAGATCCAAGCAAGAAGTTGGTCTTCTCTGCAGATGAGCTCAAAGGTGCCAGTTGGGACGACAGAAAGAGGTGGACTGAGATCAGGTAGGAGCTGAAAGCTGCTTAAGTTCAGGCAGCTGAAGAAGGTTACCAGCTTGTCAGTTGGGCAGATGTAGGAGCAGGGCCTCTCAAAGTTGCAGGTAATCAAAGGAAGTTTAACAAGAAACTTCCGTAGTACTGGAACTAAATGAGCTAGCTGCTTTGACATATAGCTATAACAGATAGCTAGCATGACAAATAGATAGCTTTGACATATAGCTAGCTTGACAGATAGATAGCTTTCCAATAGGCTAGCATGACAGATAGATAGCTTTGACATATAGCTAGCTTAACACATAGATAGCTTTCCAAAGACTAGCATGACAGATAGATAGCTTTGACATATAGCTAGCTTGACAGATAGATAGCTTTGACATATAGCTAGCTTGACAGATAGATAGCTTTCCAATGGGCTAGCATGACAGATAGATAGCTTTGACATATAGCTAGCTTGACACATAGATAGCTTTCCAAAAGGCTGGCATGACATATAGCTAGCTTTCAGAAAAAAGCTAGAGCTGGGGGATGGCAAGATGTAGAAAACGTTGGCGCTGTGCGTGAATTGGGCTTCCGGACTGTGCGCAAACCACCTCGGCTGCGACGCCTGTACGGCGGCGGTCTCGGAACGGGTTCGGAACGGGTGCGGAACGGTCTCGGAGACGGGACCATTGGCACGGCCGCGCGAAGGTTTCGCAAGGTTTGAATTGCGTGGCAGGCGCAGCACTTTCGCAAGGTCAAGTGTAGATTTCGTGGCAGGCGCAGCACTTTCGCAAGGTCAAGTATAGATTTCGTGGCAGGCGCAGCACTTTCGCAAGCACTCTCTGCGAGCTGGGGGATGGCAAGATGCAGAAAACGTTGGCGCTGTGCGTGAATTGGGCTTCCGGACTGTGCGCAAACCACCTCGGCTGCGACGCCTGTACGGAGGCGGTCTCGGAACGGGTTCGGAACGGGTGCGGAACGGTCTCGGAGACGGGACCATTGGCACGGCCGCGCGAAGGTTTCGCAAGGTTTGAATTGCGTGGCAGGCGCAGCACTTTCGCAAGGTCAAGTGTAGATTTCGTGACAGGCGCAGCACTTTCGCAGCACTTTCGCAAGGTCAAGTATAGATTTCGTGGCAGGCGCAGCACTTTCGCAAGCACTCTCTGCGAGCTGGGGGATGGCAAGATGCAGAAAACGTTGGCGCTGTGCGTGAATTGGGCTTCCGGACAGTGCGCAAACCACCTCGGCTGCGACGCCTGTACGGAGGCGGTCTCGGAACGGTCTCGGAACGGTCTCGGAACGGGTTCGGAACGGGTCGGAACGGGTTCGGAGACGGGCCCATTGGCACGGCCGCGCGAAGGTTTCGCAAGGTTTGAATTGCGTGGCAGGCGCAGCACTTTCGCAAGGTCAAGTATAGATTTCGTGGCAGGCGCAGCACTTTCGCAAGGTCAAGTGTAGATTTCGTGGCAGGCGCAGCACTTTCCCAAGGTCAAGTGTAGATTTCGTGGCAGGCGCAGCACTTTCGCAAGGTCAAGTATAGATTTCGTGGCAGGCGCAGCACTTTCGCAAGGTCAAGTGTAGATTTCGTGGCAGGCGCAGCACTTTCCCAAGGTCAAGTGTAGATTTCGTGGCAGGCGCAGCACTTTCGCAAGGTCAATTATAGATTTCGTGGCAGGCGCAGCACTTTCGCAAGGTCAAGTATAGATTTCGTGGCAGGCGCAGCACTTTCGCAAGGTCGAGTATGGATTTCGTGGCAGGCGCAGCACTTTCGTAAGGTCAAGTACAGATTTTGTGGCAGGCGCAGCGTTTTCGCAAGGTCAAGTGCAGATTTCGTGGCAGGCGCAGCACTTTTGCAAGGTCAAATATAGATTTCGTGGCCAAGGTCAAGTATAGATTTCGTGGCAGGCGCAGCGCTTTCGCAAGGTCAAATACAGATTTCGTGGCTCGAAAATCGCAACTTTTAAGTACGAAAGTAGTACGTGAAGTCCACTTTCGCAGCTGGGGCTTGCAAATCGCAACTTTTAAGTACGAAAGTAGAACGCGAAGTCTACTTTCGCAGCCGGGGCTTGAAAATCGCAATTTTTAAGTGCGAAAGTAGTACGCGAAGTCCACTTTCACAGCTGGGGCTCGAAAATCGCAACTTTTAAGTACGAAAGTAGTACACGAAGTCCACTTTCGCAGCCAAGTGCAGGAAGCCGCAGAAAGACACGGGTGTCCTTTACGTGGCTCAAATGTAGTTACTTTCGTGACTTGGGCATTTGGCACACCTCACACTTGACCACGCAACTTGTCACACTTTACTCAACCCCACAGTCAGTCAAGCGCTCCAAGGGATGTTGTTTTGTGTTGTTCTGTTTGTGCAGAGAGTCACAGTCTGTAAGCAGTATTAGTGGCGCCCGTGTTTCCCCTCAGGGGGACTTTTTACAGACTACTCAGAAAATCAACAACGCATACGACTTTTTTTCAGAGGTTGGTGCTTCGGCCGGCCGCTTGCGCACCCGCTACTCAGGGCAGCTTGGCGTTGCAACCGGCTGCTCGCGCCATGGATCGCGATGACAGCAACATGAGTGAGGACCGCTTTCAGGTCCTGTTGACCTACCTGGCGGCAAACGCCGCAGAACTGCGACAGCTGCAGTGCCAAGACATGGTCTCGCTTTTGCGCACTGGCGAGGCCAGGCGAGGCAAGCCGGCCATTCCAGACAGGGCCGCCGGAGAAACAGTATCGTGCTGCGGGTGTGCCGTTTCGGGCCGCGCGCGAGAGCGCGGGGCCGAGCTAGCGAGCCGTTTCGGGCGTCGGGCCGCGCGCTCGCGCGGACTGCTGCACCGCTGAAGCAGACGAAGAGAAAAGCCTAGCTTTTGCGCTTGACACGCGTGCGTTTCGGGCCGCGTGCTCTAGCCCAGACTACAGCACGGCTTGGGCAGACGCAAAGAAAAGGCGCTCTCGAGGGGGAGGGAGGAGAGTTGAACTTGAAGCGCTCGTTGGGAGCTTTGGAAAGGGAAAAAAAAAGAAAGAGAAGAGAGAGAGAGAAAAAAAGAAAGAGAAAGAGAGAAAAAAAAGAAAGAGAGAGAGAGAGAGAGAGACAGAGAAACAGAAAGAGAAAGAGAAAGAGAAAGAGAGAAAGAGACAAAGAGAGAAAAAGAGAGAGAGAGAGAAGCAAGGGGCCAAGGACAGTTCTCCAAACTATAGTTGTTCACTGCTTTGAAACTTCCGCCCCCCGGCTCTGCCGGACCTTACTTGTAAGGTGATGACAGGACAAAGTTCAGATGAAAAGTTTCGTTTAACATACGAAGCTTGCCAGAAGATTTACAACATAGGAGCTCCAGCAGGAACAGCTCTGCAAGGCGACTACTGCGGCGCAAGGTCGGCATAGGTAGCCATCCAGAGATCTCCTTGAGATCCTCGTAGGTCATGTCTTCTGCTGCAAGTGCCATCTTAGCCCAGAGTGGAGGGTGGGACGACTCAGTGCAGGATGCAGATGGATGAGATGCTTTCTAGCTGGCCAAAGTTGCAGCGCAGATCGCGGTCAGAGGATATATGCACACATAACTGCACACAACTCCCCAATTCGGAAAAACACTCGTTTCACATGGAAAATACCCACGCTGAGGGGGTCCCCCTCTCAAAAAAAAACATGTTTGTCCCACTTTCCATGGTTTTTTTTGTGCGAGGTGGGGAAGCTGTGGCAGAAGAACGCCCTCTTCTCGCCGGACGTCAACATGGAGTGGACCCAGGACCCCGAGCTGTGGCAGCGCGAGGACATCATGATGGGCCTCAAGAGGCGAACCGACCGAAACCGATACCGATCGATCGAGCCGATCGAGCCGACCAAGCCGAGGAAAAGCCGAGAAACCGGGAAGCCGCGTTGATAGAGGCTGCCTGGTCTTATGGTTATGGGAAGGCCTAACCAGTTTGTTTAGGAAGAGCCAGCTTGTAAAAAGCAATTTGGTAGAAGGAAATGGACCGGTTTCGAGCGCTCAAGTGAGTCAACCCATAGAACTAGGATGGTTGCGTTCTTTTCCCAATGGCTATCTGCTTGGAATTGCAAGAACCGAAGGCCAGCAAATGAGCGGGTTCCTTTTGGTTTACCCTTAGACACCCCCACCGGATTCGCGCTGCCCAATACAACCCACCCTTTCTGTTTGAGTAGACTTGTACTTAAACCCAATCAATTAAAGCAGGCACTGGGAAGCCATTCGGAGATCCACTCAAACAATCAAGGGGTGTTACTCCCTACGGCGACGGCCAGTTGTCTCGAATCAATCCACAGCAGCTGTGTCCCTTTTTCTTTCTTGAACATATGAAACATGGGAATCCGCTGCAAGGAATCGCATGGTCATTGATGCTAGAAAACCCATTCCTTCCAGCCTGCGGCGCTCGGCTAAGAGATGTGGGGGCCATTTTCTGTCAGGGAAAAGCCATGCATTGCATCTGGGGGTGTTGTGAACTAGCTTGTTTCTGAACAAAACGCAGCATGGGCACTGCTTTGTCCTGTTTCAGCTCCTGAGTTGGTGGTGCTTGGCTGAAATGTCTGAAATGGCGCAGCCATTGGCTAGGCATTCAGTGCTCTAGTATCAAGTGTCACCCATTCCGACGCAACGGTGCGTTGACGCTGACTTGCGACTTGGGCATGTCCGGGTCGACCGAGTCGGCCACTTCTTTGCTCTTCAAGCTCTCCAAGAGGATGTCGCAGCATGAGTTCCTCATGGGTTTGCACCGATGGTGCGACTACTCCTACAGCCACTGTTGCTTGAGAATTATGGCGGCGGAATATGTGTCTGTGGGTCAAAACCAATGGCTACTATTTTGGGCTACGTGCACCACCCAGTTCAACCTTTATTCAAATTAGATTGGGATGTTCACTGGGACTACGGATTTGATTTTGACCCAAGGCCACATGCTTTAATTCTTTTCCCTTGTTGGGAAGCGAGTTCGATTTCGCTGCTGGATTTGGTTTTCTCATTTTTCCCGGGAGCCGTACGAGTTCGCAAACGGAATGACCCATGGCATATGTTTTCATGATTTTCCCTTGGTCTTAAAGGGAAGCGATGTCGCTGCTGGATTTGGTTTATCGCTTCTGTTTTCCAGCGGGCGGTACTCATCCGAAGGCCAGAGGCCCTACAACTACGTCCACCTCGTTTGGGCCAAGCTGGCCGTGGTGAACTTCACCTCCAGCGAGGAGTGCGAGATGTGCCTCCAGGAGGGAGTCTTCCCGAAGGGGGCCCAAAACAATTTCTACCAATCCATTGGCTGAAATGATTTTAAAAAAATGTGCCCCTCTTGGTTTTAAAAGGAAGTCATCACTACTGGAGACATTTTCTCATTTTTTCCTGGCGCCTTAGCCAATTGGAAGTCTACCGAGTTCTGATTGGAGCCTATATGGCTGTGTATTCGTTTTGAAAGGGACACCCCAAATAACGCAACGGTGTTCCTTCAAGCCAACCCAAAAAAAGGAACCCTCAACAAAGGACACCCATATATGGCCATGGGTCAAAACCCCGTACCTCCAGTGAACATTATTGGTTTTGAACCATGGCCATATAGACCTTTACCATATTTCTAGAACCAAAGTTCGCTTCGTTTTCGTCCCTCAGGTGATGGAGACCATCGCGGGCGTGGCAAGCGTGTGCGTGGCAGGCGTCTGCCACGCCGCGCACCAAGGCTTAGAGGAGAACTTCAGTTTTCTTCAACCTTGACCCACTTCCTGAGTTCTTGGTTCTTTGCATCACTTCTCGTTGTTTGTGCTTGTTTTGTGTGCAAACTGATGTTTTGGCAAAATCTACTCGGGAAATGAGAGCTAACGAGCTTTTGGACAGGGATTTCCCTTTAACATCCGCCAGAAAAAGCGTCGGCTTTTTCTCGCTGGGGATCTGGAAGGAGAACTTGGCCCACTTCTGTAGCAAGCGCAGCCGCTACGAGAACCAACCCCTCGTATTTGTGGACAACGAGCTGGTTTGCCTGGAATGGGCGTGCGAACGCTTTGTGGCCGAGCCTCTCCGCTTGCCAAAGGCTTACCTTTTCACCTCTATGTCCCCCAGTAGTTTGCCCTTCTCTCCCCTTTTTTGGTTGGGAGGGTTCGGGACCCTACTAAAATAGACAGACAAAAGTTGATACCCTTATTCTAACCTCTCAAATCTGGAGGACCTAGCTTACCTTTTCACCTCTGTCGCCTTTTTGTGGTTTTTTTCCCGGTCATTTCCCTTCCCGGCCAAAAAAAACGTTGTTTTGGGGTGCTTAATTTAAAAAAAAAGGTCACTTTGGGGTTCAAGAGCCAGACGCTCTGAAGTCGTCACCTGCCGTACGTAGGTACATCAAAGAGCCTGAGACGTTTTCCGGGACTTCGGAGTCCCGCCTTGGCGACGAGGTGAAGCGGCCGGAAGGCTCACAGCTGATTTTCCACCTTTGAAGTCGGGCGATCCCGCGGGGTTCCCTTTTGGCACGCCTAATACATTTCACCGCAACCCTGAATTGGTGGCTTGGAGCGTGGTTTGGAATTGGATTTGAAGCCCTGGTTTTCTTGTCGAGGGTAAATGGAAAAGCAAACCCCGGACCTCCAAACCACCAGAGGAGGGAAGCTGACTCAGTGGATGCCATGTGCGGGGCCCTCACACCAGCTGATTTGGAGGTTCCTCATCCTTCAAGGATACAGATACCTTTTGTTTCAAGATCAACCCAGTCACTAATCAAGCAAACCGTGCCTTCAGCTGGAAGAGTTGTTTCTTGTCATGGGATGTCAGCTTTAAGGAAGACCTTTGAATCAGCTCTTTCCATCGCTTTAGATCTTTCCTGATCTTTTGTACCAAGATCAAGGAGGCCGGTATCAAACGCGGGCTTCAATCTTTCACGAGGTCGGTCACCGGCAATCGCCACCAATACATGAAAGTGAGCCGCCGTCACCCCCGCATGTTTCATCACGAATAGGGTGCTCTGAAAACGGATTCCTTTGAAATACAGGTAGGGTGAGGGATGACGGTTGCATTTGTGCGGTGCTGTTGTGCGCAACCATGCCGTTCTGCATCGCCAAGAATTCTTTTTCTCCCAGATGCCGACACAAGGGTCCGGCGCTTTTTGTTTGAACAAAGTTCCAGAGACATTTTTCAGCGAATGCCAATCTCCGTGGTGCGGCGTTTCGCGAAATGCCATGAGGGGGGAGATCTTCCTTCTCAGGTGCCTGCCAGTAGGCGGGCCAAGCGGTACAGATCTGCATGGCGTGTTTCCATGGGACTCGGTGTTTTTTGGAGCCTCGGTACTCCTTTTTTTGGGGGGGAGAGGGGGGGTTAGAGGCAAACCAGCAGAAAGAAAGCAGCATTTTGGGGGGGCAGGTCCCCGAACCATTCGCCATCCGTCGCGGAAGAATTCAGATTGCGTCCCTTCGCTGACCTCTTGCGTCAAAAAGTGGCACCCGTGGCCGACAGGCTTTGCTTGCTGGTGCTCAGTAGTGAACGACCCAGGGTGTGGGAATCAACCGAAAGCAGAGGGGTTGTTTTTTAGGGGGTCATTTCCTTGCCCTGCTGAGAACCAGCAAGCTTACTTGGAGCTATCTTGAAGTGTTTCGGGCAAGGGCTGTATGTTTCGCCTCGACCCAAAACAGAAAATCCAAGATGTGTTTGATCTTGATCCACGAAACGGATCCCGCATATCCACCAGGGTCGTGGTTTTGGGCCCATCCCCTTGTCACTTTTCAGCAAGGTCTGTTCAGCTGTTCGGGACAGTAGAAAAGAATGTTCAGTTCCTATGGGTTCATCCAACCACTTCTGTGATACAAGGGAGTGCCTTCTTTTAGTCTTTGAGAGGCCCTTTTTGTTGTATCGCGGAAGTGGATTCCATTTCCCACAGCCCTGTTCAGTTTCCCTACAAAGATTTTCCCCTGCGCGTTTGGCAATTCGTGCAATTAGTAACGACAGGCCAAGCTTGTTCTGACTTCTATGGAGTTCACCTCTCAGCAACCTTGGGCAACTAACATAGAAGGCGCGATCCTTTTCACGCAACCAGTTCACTGGGCAAGCAAGCACCAGTTCGATAGATTTTCAAGGCCGCAGGTCCAAAGCAGAGCGGCCTTCTGACCTTTATTTTCCATGTCAGACCATTTTAGGCAAGGCTCCAAACTGTTCCTCTTGCTGTTCGGCTCTTTGCGGGTGAGTTGATTTGTTTTGTCGTTTGTCCCTTGCCTCTCGGATATATCCAGATCAGTCATGGTCTTGCCCTAAACATCTTGCCAAAGGCTCGCCTTTGGGCTGAGGGCAACCGGCCCCTTGGTAGGCCACGACGAGAAGGGCCCCTGATTCTTCTCGGGGGCCTGGTTTACTACGGAAGGGAAATCCTCTCCAGCTTATGCAGTTTCAGGGTTGTGGGATGAAGGGGTTTATCCAACCACTTCTGTGATACAAGGGAATCTCCCCCTTTATAAGTTTATATGGGGGGGGGAGTTAGTGTTTGGAAAGCCCTTTTCGTTGTATCACAGAAGTGGTCATTTCCCACAGGCCTGTGCAGTTAGGAACTTCCGTGGCACAGAGGGCTCTTTGACAGGCAAGAGACGAAGAAGCACGCACGAAAAAACTGCATGCATGAGTGTGGCAAGGTAAAAGACATGTGGCTGTGGGTCAAAACCAATGGTACCGTTTTGGGGTAGGTGCACCACCATTTTGGAACCTATTTTAGTGGGGATTGGGATGTTCACTGACGGGATTTTGACCCATGGCCATGTCCCTTCGGACTCTCGAAAGCTAGCGGGGTTGAAACGCCCGGTCGGAGCGCTCCCGGACCCGGGGCCATTGGCACGGACACGCACGCTTTTCGCGACATTAGTTGAAAGAAGCGAAAGAAAAAGAAAAGAAGGAGAACAAAAAGGAAGAAATAGAACTATATGTTGAAGCTTCCGCCCGGCTTCGCCGGCTCTGCTATGGGTTCATAGATTCTCTTCATGGAGGCCAGGTTGCAAAGTGTGTTTCAACCGTATTTTGGTGTGTGCTTTGTGTGAGGGTACTCCTGATTGCAGGTGGGTTTCAAGGGGCCAAGAAACATCCCATCTTAGGGTTCCCTTACACATACCCATATCCTGGCTCTAGCCAAGCGCAGAGGCCAAACAGGTGGTTTAAGCCATGGCTTCCATCAGGCCGTGAATTGCGAGTTGCAAATCGCCCTCTCAGGAGGAAGAACGACCCGGGGGTGGTCCATTTCGTGAAGAGGTTTGGCCAGGTGGTCATGAAGTCCGAACGCGAAGAGGAGACTCGTTGGCCCTGGGATCTTTGTGTTCATACCTTGGGGTAGACGAAAGATGTTCTTTGGCTGTTTTGCGGGCCAAGTGTTGTTTGCAGCTGTCCATTGGTGATTCTCTGTTCAACTGTTATAGGAGAAACTCCACTGAAGATCAACCCGAAAAAGGGTGCCACATGGAATTCCACTGCGAGTGCATCCCCACAATCGACCCAGGGGTTCTTTTTCTTACCGTTCGGGTCACACGAAGGGGGCGGTGCTTCTGTGGCTCTTCCCAATGCTCCAACCGCTTTTGGAACCACTCAAAGGTGACTGATGCACATAACCCCCCCCAAACGATAGGGGAGTTGAATTCAGGACGAAATCTACACCATTTTCCTGCTTAAGGCACTCCCTTTTCAGCAGGTTGATCGGTTTCCTCCAACTTCCAAGGCCCAAAGCTTCTCATGTCCCGGGCGCTTTCGATTTCCTGTGAACTTCTGCAGGACGGGAAGGATGGGAAGGATGCCTAAAAAGATGCAGGACACGGCGCGCGACGGCGACCTGGTTCATACCACCATGTGCCGCTTGTCCCAGCGATTTCCTTCCGAGTGCTGCAAAAAGCCCAAAAGCCAAGGCGATAGTGAGCAAGTGGGCAGGGACTGGGCGGGAATACCTGTGGATGACTTGCAAATCTTATCTTATGTAGCTGGCTTTCTTGGCTTTGGTAACCGAACCGGGAGGAGGGCTTTGGAGCCATTCCCATCGAGGATCAGTAGTTGGATCGCAGTTTCTTTAGGCGATGGAATTCTACCGAACTCCGATGGGCGAAACAGAAAGCCGCCCTCGGACTGCCCCCTGAACTCCTTCATGTATGCGTGCATAGGCACGAACACGCAACGAGCATACCGAGCGGGGTAAAACGGTTCCGCCATGATGAAGGCTGGGTTGAGGGGTCTTACTTGCACTTAATGTTCTAATAGTTTGCTTTTTGTAGTTTGCTCAGACATGTTTGTGCATGTGTGTGGGTGTGAGGTGTACCGTGCTTTTGACGCATTGCTGAAGAGCTTTGCATCCGAGGACAGGTTGAAATCAAGCCTGTCCAAGATGGGTGAGCAGGAAGTGAGCGAGCTTGATTCCTCGAATATCCCAAGTAAAGTTTGAAGATGTTCCCCACCGATCCCTGGATCAGACGCCAACGCAGGCATTTGTAACTCGGAAGCTTTATTTGGGGAATGAGCCTCTGATTTGTCTAGAATGTTCGCCACATTCAGGTGCATGGTCCAAGGGAGTGGCGGAAACCATTGCAAGCAGGCAAGGAACGCCAAAGGCAAACTTGCCATTGGTGGTTTTGCTTGCAACACTGGGGTCTCCAGACCTGCGCTCTATCTTCTCAGGTCAAGTGAAGCATCTGAAATGATGCTCTGTGTCCCCCCTTGTGGTTGCGAGGAATCGACCGCTGCGCCAAAAAGGCCAAGTCGCCGGAGGTAGCTCCATGCGGGTGTTTGTGACAGCCGAAAGGCATGGGATCCGTTTTAGAGTCGCGTCAATTGTTTTTTTTTTGTTTTTTTTTCCGTTTGACTGTCCAAACTCTGGCTGGAAGTTCAACAAAACTGGGCTAGACTTAGGATACATTCTACGTTTTACCCGTGACTCAAAGGCAAGCAAACAATAGAATATACATTTTATGACTGGGAGTAAGTCTCATCATGAAAGGGGATCTGGGACAGCTCTCTCTGTCCAGAAATTCCGGTCTGTCGCACCGAATCAAACACCATCCCCGCCTAAAGGTTTGGTGGCTAGGCGGGTTTTCGCGGGGTGCGACATGTGCCAAGAGTGCCTTTCCACTTCGGTGTTGCTGTCTTTGAAGGGAACCTCCACTTTCGGAACAGAGTCCTTTGGATTGAGGCTAGGTCCCCCAGTCGTGCCCTTTCTCACCCCTTTTTTGGGGGAGGGTTCGGTTCTACTAAAATAGACCAGAAAAAAAATCGGTACCAACTTCCAACCTCTACTGGACCTAGGAGGGAAGACCTTTCGGGTTGCCTACCTCCGCCTCCCATGCCTGCGCGCCGACCCTTTGCTCCGACGGGCCCGGCTCCCATGGTCGACCCGAAGAATATGTTCCTCTGGCTCGCCTTCCGGGGGCCTCATTCGAAGATGCGTTTTGTTTTTTGGTTTTTTTTTTTTTTTTTTTTTTTTTTTTTTTTTTTCGAATATGTTGTTTTTTGTTTTTTTAGTATACAAGAACGCCAACAGGAATGTGAAGGTTTTTAGGATGTAAGAACGCCAACGGAGGAACGTGAAGGTGGCCCGTTGCCTTTGAGACCGTCCTAGTCGGGCGGTCATTCAGCACTTAGACACCGAAATCTGCGGCATGTCGGAATCTTTCCCAGCGACCCTTGCCCATGCCCCAAAGAGAAACGTGTTGCAGATCCGGACGGGGAGATTGGCAAGCGGTTTGGAGGGTATGGTTGTTGCGCTAGACCAAAGCGAGTGACACACAGCCGAATGGCAGAATCTGAATAGGCACCCTATGCTTGGGTGGTTAGACTCACTTACAGGGCCTCCTCGCTAACGAAGGGTGGGGATTCTAGTCAATGTTTCTCAAAATCATGGACCCCTTCAGGTGGTTGGTTTGCTTTTGGTTTCCACCTCTATTTGAAGAAATTAATTCTAATCCACTTGAATCTCACTGCCAGCAGAAGACGGTATAGGAACGGAAGTGTGCTGCTAGACTGATCCTATAACCAAACGTGATACGAGGGGACTGGGTGGGGTCCGGAATCCGGGGTGCAACCTAGATGTCCCACCGCAAAACATCAGCCAAGGGTGCGATCAATAGCAAGCATATATGTTTGTTTCAATTGATTTGGGTTTTTTTGGCATCTTTCCAGCCCTCGGATTTTGCGCGCCCAGCTCATTGCTTTGTTTCCTGAAGTCGAGTTCCCGGGGTCACGGGAGATGGTTTTCCGGCCTCCGGAAACCCACAGATGTCCCCCTCTCCACCTGACGGGACATGGAAGTTGCGACTTACCTAGGTCCTGCAGTAATGTGGACCCAGGATTAATGTTGACCCGTCCCAGGGGGGGGTTCCCTCCAAAAGTGGTCTGAATCCCCACTAAAAGGGGACACCCCCCTATTCATCAACCAGGGGGTTATCAATCCGGGGTAAACGTTAGTGCCCTTTTTCCGTTCCTTTTTTGGGGGAGGCTTCCCCTACTAAAATAGCAAATGAAGCCCAGAAAAAGGAGGATATGTTGGCAGACAATTTTCCAGAGTTTGTCCGTGGGCGAGTTGTGCTCAGGGCCAAGGCGTCAAAGGATAGAATGTTCCGGGAATCAACCTGCGTGGCTGGAATGGAATGTGAAAAATCTATTGACGCCAGGCAAAGTGAGCCCGCAAATGATCTGTCAAATGGATTTCCCTCATGGAAACACTCATGTTCATCTTTCTTTCACACCTCAAATGGCACCAACATAGACCCCAGCTTTGGTGCATTTTGCTTGCATGTTAGGACTTTAACTTTGTGCCAACTAATGGGTTTTCCATTAAACCACTAAAAGTTAAACGTTTAGCAGGGGAGCAGAAAGCAACCGAGCCAGATAGAAGGAACCTGATCAAAAAGATGGAAGGTATCGACAAAACTATGGGGTATAAGATGGTAGGATGTTGAGTGTTTTGCACAAGAGGTTTCCTTGTAGCGCCTATCAAAATAGGGTCCCAGGTGCTGCGATTCCCTAAGAAACCGTGGCTGTTTGGACAGACTCACATTTTTTGAGAGTGCAGAAAGGGAACATGTTTAAAAACAATTTTCTGAGAGTCCACAGTCCAGACTCACTGTTTGGGTAAACGCTGTCCTTGATTTTTCTTCTCTGAACATTGAGAAACACCAGTCAGAAGTGCAGCGTTTCCAACCAGCGTTTCCCGACCAATGCTCGCCGATCGGTACCTGGTAATCCAGTGCTCGAAATGTAGAAGCTTGTACTCATAGGCCCTGTGGTTCAGTTAACACCATTGAAACAATGGGGGGTTAATACAGCAGCCATTCACCAAAGGAGTTTCATCATTGAGATTGGGTCAAGCGCCTTTAAATGGGGGGTTGAATGTTAGGGTATGGTTTAATTTCTGACTGGTTGAGTTGGCAAACTTTCAAAGAATCTATCCAGCCTCCTGCCGTCGGGCGTCTTCTGAGTCGCCGAGCCAACATTGGAAGTCTCTAAATGACACCAAATGCTTGTCTTTGACTTGAGGAAATCCCCATTTTAGAGAATCCAACCATTTCAGGGATTCTCAAATGAAGGCCGCGACTCGAAAAATGTTGCTTTGTCACTTGCATGAAGATCCTTTTCGGAAAACAAGCCGAAATGTGGACCTTTCTGAGCCCTAGCCTGTTCCACGCTTGGGTATGCCAATCGCTTTCTTGACATCAGCTTATGCGGCTCTCAGCTGATTCACTCAGATGTCGGAGTCCTTAAAGCACCGCCACCTGACTCAGAATCTGGGACTGCTCTTCTTGGTGGCTCCCAGCCATCCGGTTCCTTAGCCTTTTAGCTTTTTTAGTGTTTGGGGATTTCCATTGCACCCACCAAAAGTGTTTTTTCACTTTCAGCGGATCAGAAAACGGACAGCCCAGTCACATCGCCAAAGCGCCATGAAGCGTCCGGCCGCGAAAGCTGCCGCGGAGCCCAAGCGGAAGGCCCCGAAGCCGCCGGAGTTCTGGGACTTTGAGACGAATCCGCGGGACGCCCAGACGAGACGGCCATTGGCCAACAGCTTACCTTCCCCCAGCGAGTGGTGCCCTTTCTCATCTCTTTTTGTTGGAAGGGTTCCCCTAGTAAAATAGACTGCAGAAAAAAGATGGTGCCCTTATTCTAATCTTTCTGCTCGAGGCCCTAGCTACTTCTCTACCTGGAGATGCTTATGACCATAGCAGACAGAAACAAGTGCCCCTACACTTAGGAACCGGGGTGCAATGTTCTGCGGCCTTTTGAGCCAAAGCAACGCTCTCGAGGGCTGTGGCCAGTATCAGCTTTGCCATGATCTTCTGAGGCTTGAAACTTGGGTATATATCACAAACCAACAACGCACTGCCTGGATTCGCAGGTCAACGTGGCTCGGCGGCCATGGAAACTCTGCGACAGACCGCACGAAGCACAAAGCCAAGGAGCTGACGAAGGACGTTGCTGCTGGCGAGCAGATGTTCAAGGCTTGTCCTGGAAATATACAGTGCCTTGGAAGATTTCTCAAGGTCTTTGCATGCTTGTTCGTAAATAGGAATCAAATCTGACAGATTCTTGGTCTTTTGAAGGCTCCCTCACGAGGCCTTAAGAAGCACTCGAAGGGCCACTCCAGCCAAAACTCACATGTCAGTCGCTTCGTTTGAAACTTGGAGCGTTTTCATGGCTGTTAAAGTTCCCATCATCCTGTGCAGAGTCTAGGAGCATTCAGCACATTGATTCTGGCAGTGTTGCGTTGCCAGGTGCGTGGTTCTGTCCAGAGGGGTTTTTGTCACACCTGGAGAGAAGGCGCGGGGGCGATATGAATGAAGGGAAGGCCCACGGGAAGATTGACATCTGAGGCGGCAACTGCAACGAGGGGATCTGAGAAATCCATGTGCCGTTGCTCGCATCTTACGAATGGCCCCCCATGGAATGGTTTCCAATTCGCTGGGATTGGCTATCTTTGGTATATCGGTTGGTCCCTACCCTCGGCGAAGGCTCTCCTGGGACTTAGCGCTTCCAGGTGCAAAGATCCAGTTGAAATAGTTCGCAAAAAGACACCCAACGCAAGTGCGTGTGTGTGTGTGTGTATACATGTGTGTGTTTTCTGGAAAGCTTTATCACGGTGAGGGAGTCCTTCCCAAATGTCACAAGCTTCCGGCTCCTGGGACTGTCCAGCGCCCTGATCCCTTCAATCCAAGCTGGAGGCCGGCGCCTGCAAGGTTTCGCGCCCTTGTTACACAGAGCGCTCGAAAACGCCAAAACCTCGAGCAAGAAACGAGCCACTTCGCCCAAGGCAAAGGCGCGCCTCCAGTGGTCTTTAAAGGCAATGGCATTGGGACAACTCCAGGGGGACGCTCTAAAATCCCCTGCATTCGAAAGTCATGTTTGTGAGGAAGTATCGTGCAGACAAAGTTGAATTTTTCGTATAGGCCATGACAGGGTTCGCGAAAGGGTTATCGTTTACGCACTCGTGCAAGTGCCGCGACAGGCGATCTGTTTGCCTAATTGTACTTGTTCAGGGTCCGTGAAAGCGAACGCGAACTTCCAACCCGTCTTCATACCGCGACTCCTCGAAAGCCTGCGAGCAGGGATTTGTTTTTTTTCTTTTTATGGTCGGAGTTAGACAGCGCAGGTTGGAGACCTGGCTACAATGTTTGCACAAGGGTATCCTCATTTGCTCTTCAAAACAAGTAAGTCGTAACGTCCAACTGCCATCAACAAGAACTGCCAAAGGTGCCAAGATGCTTTGAGTTGTGAGTGTACCCTAAATACGTCGGCCAAGAATCATGTGGTCAACCGTCAATTGTCGGGTTCATGGAGTCTACCCCTTTGCAGATTATTCAACACCCCTGACGCCCAGAACCGCCAAGTTTTGGGTCAACCCAAACGCTCAGAGACCTTAGGGTCGGGCTGTCGAGCCTCTGGGGCTCGAATCACATCCAGCCTCCACAAACAGGAGGCTGAACTAGCGGATGGTTCGGGAGCTAAGGAGCTGGTATCCAAATTTACCGTTCAAGAGGGAGCCAATGAGCTTCCAGGAGTTCTCTAAAAACATAACTTTGGTCAGCTAGTTTGAGGGTCCAGGGCCGCGGCGACGTGCTGTGCCCCCAACCTCTACGTCTTTGTTTAGGGTGCACGGGAGAAGTAGCTGTTCCGTAGGCTATTGACACCAGTCATTGGCTGTATTTTGTGTAAGTCCAAAATGGTGGTCACTCGGCTTCTGTAGGCTGAAGGAGTCACTCGGAGCTTTGTGCCGCAGGTGACGATTGAGGTAACCTTGACAGCCAAGTTGAGACGTGGCTGGCACTTATCGGACGAGGTCGGACTCGGCATCAGGAGCGTTAGGTGCCAGGTGAGATGATCATAAGACCTAGAGAGAGGGACTCAGGTGATCTTTAAGTTGCCCACAGACACGGATGGCAAGCGCACTTGCGCATGTTCCGCACTTTTTCGCATTTTCGGCGGGCGAAGGGTTCACCATCCTATCTCTGAAGATCGCCTCAGCCTTAGGAAGTACTGTGACTTCTACGTGGGCCTACTGGGGCATCGTGGCCTTGGCACCTATGACACAGAGCCTCGTGAGAGCAAGACGTTGAGGCCCCTGCCTGCAACAGGTTGGGAACACAGTTGCGTCACTCTTCTTTTCACGGCGCTTGACCAAAACCACAGACGCGGTTCACGCGTTCAACTTGGGCTCTTTTGTGTGCAGCACCTTCGCACGCCGAGACAGGCAGAGACCAGCTGGTGGTCTGGGAAGCTTCCAAGGAACTACCATGTACCGGCGTTGCTAACATATTGTCTTAGGCCTACCTTCGATGATACTGTTTTAGGAAAGGAACAAAGAAACTATGTTACCAGGAAGGTACTAAATATTTGGAACTCACCTTTCGATGTTTAAAGCCTTGACCAAGAATGCGGCAAACTTGCCGGGCCCTCCTGGACTATGAACCTTCTCTTCCATTTGCTTAAGAAGATGTTTATTTCCCCTGTTGGTTTTCAAGGGCATCTATCACTGGAAGTACGTTTAGTTTTCTCCAGGGGACAAAAACGCAAATGGAGAATTACCTTGGCTCCCCTATATCCATTTCAAAGGGGGGCATGGGGCATGGGCTCGTGTCCCATACAAACCCAGGGTTCCGTGTTTCTCTCAGGAGGTCCACTTTGCGCTCTGCGGCGGCGGGCGCAGCGGAGTTTGCCAGAAGTTCAAAGACGCGGAGTTTGGCAGCCGCTTCAAGTGCAAAAGGGTCAGGCGTCCCCATATGCCCCTTTTGGGCGGTTTAACACATCACCTGCTTGGCCCATGAAAGGTGAGTATCCCTTGGGGTGATGTTTCAAGGAGAAATATAGGGAGCACTGAGGGTGGACACACAGACACAGAGACAAACGCAAAACCAAAGAGGGGGAATGTCAAGGCACCAAATGAATTGGGTGTATGTCAAGGGGATGGGCGGAGCTTGCTAATATCCAGCATGTCAACAAATTCCATGATTCTCAGGGTCCCCCAAATAAAAACCGGACCCCCCGAAAGGGCACCTGAAAATCATCGCACAACATCGCTGAACATCGCTACGGGAGTTCACGGGTCCATCTCGTTTTATCTCGGAACCCTGGGATTCAAGTTCTTCAAAGCGTCCCAGTGACCCGAAAACAATGCAAACTCCCACTGGTTGCCAGCAGGTCAGCATCCTTTGCAGGGCCTGACGTAATAACTTGCGTCTCTCCGGCATACTTGTAATAGGCGATCTCGGTGTCTCCCCAGGTTGTGTTTGTTTTGTGTGTGTGTGTGTTTGTGTTTGTGTGTTTGTGTGTTTGTGTCTGACTGTTTGTGTCTTTGTTTGTTTAGTTCTTTGCTTCTTCGTGTCTTTGTTTGTTTGTTTCTTTGTTTTGATTTTGTGTTTGAGTGGGTTTTGGTAACACCACTGATTTGATGATGATTTAAACGAACATGGATCGATGGTTGTTTCCAGGGGCCACCTTCATACTGAAATCAAGATCCCAAACAGCTGAATACATCCGCCAGAGGGTTGCTTCAGCAAACTCTGCGTGCGTGCAGGGTACCTCTCATTGTTCACGGTATTTCTCGAATTTGTGTTTTCCGTGAATGGTTTTCGGTGTGTTTGCCTTTCCCCATAGCTCTTTGTGCGCTGGGCATGGAGCAATTGAGACCGGAGGCAAGTTCGGCGGCAGCTTTCCGAGCATCAACGTCGGAGATGTAGCTCCCTGGCGAAGCCGAAAGCAATCGGTTGTATATGTTGCTTTGCCGTAAAACAGGAAATCCCAAGAATTGCTGCAGGACACTCTGGAATATGTCCAGCTTGGTTTGTGGGATGATGTCATTGTATTGGGCAATTGTCAATGACCACTTTGCAGGTTTGGGAAGCTTTGCACTTTCTGCAAGCATTTTATATCCATCTAAAATATGTGTCAACTCCTCCACTTGGCTCTGTGGATGGAATGACGTTTAGGATCTTACATTTTTCGGAGGTAATCGAAACGATTTGACTCTCCGCTAGGTAGCACGAACGTTTTAAAGATAAGTACTCCAAGCGTGTAGTGCCGAACATCCGAACACGGCTGGCATGCTGTGATGGTCTCTGCAGCCATGTGGAGCATCCCCGTAGTGGTCCGTGGCATATGAATCCTATCCGGGGCATACGCTTCCATATGAAGCTGTGCATTCGAGGACATACGCTTACATAGCTGGCCTCTTCATGTGTGTCAATAAAGTCAGCACACGCAGAATCTTGTATTGTGCAACGACAAAATTGGGAATTGGCCACGAGTACCTCAGTCCAAGGTCCGGATGTCCCTCTCGATCGATGAAACGGAGGATGTCTTGCAGTATTGGATCAACGACGAGGAGTTGTGTTGTCTTGGGCAGTTTGCTCTAGGTCATGGTTGGATTGAAAATGGGGAATCTACATGGCCTCCGCTGTCATTGATTTCTGTCTCACAAATTAACGTTCCAATACTGTATCCCCTGTGCTGCACTTGCTTCTTGCAATGCTCCAGGCTTTCCTTCCATGAGTAGAAAGGAGATGCAAAGTGTTTGGCCTCAAGTGACTCCAGGACTCCCATGTTGATGCCATGAGAGACCAGGACCATTAACGGAGTCTAGGTTCCCCAGTAGTGCCCTTTTACCCTTTTCGAGAGGGTTCCCCTTCTAAAATAGACTGCCGAAAAAACTTGGGTACCCTTATTCTAGCCTCTCTACTGGAGGACCTAGATTTCGTAGATGAATGTTGAAGCCATGAGAGAACAGGACCATTGAGGACATTGAAGGAGTGCAAACGATTGGCCAGGGAGAATTCCAGCAATTCCGTGCAGGAGGTGACCGAGCAGGACATCGTGCAGACCGTCAGTGAGGTTCGAAGCAAAGCCTCTCGCAGTGGTCCTTGGCGCGGTTGGATTCTTGGACAAGCTGGATGGTGGTCAGGTTACCCAACTGGTTTGGATTGGTTTGGGTTGAACCCTGGGTTGCAGAGGCATGGGAAACCACCAGCCTACAAAGAATCCGAACTACCAATTTGGGGGAACCTGAGATGGACACAATCTGCCAAGAAACAAGATACATAACTGCTTGCGAAGGAAGACGTGCTGCTGGTTTTTCCTCTGTTCAGCTTTACAACAGGCCTGCTTAGGCATGGGGACCCACGTGACAACTCAGTAACATGCATCTTCCCACGCTCGCTTTCCCGAAAACGACCGAGGAGGCTCTTCATCGGCCTCGCGGGCGCCACATGCAGCGTGAAGGTTCTGTGAGGCTCGGATCCACTCGATGCTCATGGCGGAAGTAGCCCATCGATTCGAAGAAAAGTGAAAGGAGAGCGCAACGGAGTTTTGGTTGGCATCCGATTTCGAGAAAAATAGCCAAATGACAACCACTCTTGAAAGATTTGCCTCATAGGGGAGCATTTGAACACTTGTTTCTCACCTTTCAAGCTTACCACGGGGTGGGTTTGATGGATTGGTCTTGTGACATCCTGCTGGTCCCTTGGGGTTGGGCAAAATATTGGGCATGGTAACATTGGAGAACACGGCCAGATCAATCGATGCGTCCAGACAAATTTCCTCTGAGGGTACCGCTGGTTGGCTTACAAGAGATCCCCACATATTGAGACCCTAAATCTTTGGGGCGGCGGGGGTGTGTCGGTTTTGGGAGGAGCCACCTTTTGGTTTTGAGCCAAACGGGAACCAAGCCTTTGGGGTGCCCTCATTTTGAGCCAAGCCCTCTCAGTCCAGCTTGGTGCCTGCAGGAAATGGTCACCTAGATTGGTTTCGAGTGGTGGATCCTTTCGTAAGAACAATCTTACCAGGGACCCGTGGGTTTTTGGGGAACTGCCCAGCTTGGAAGCCCAGAAAAAAAAACATGCAGAGAGAGCTTTCCGGAGGAGATTTGCACTCCATGGACCCTGCAACCGAGCAGGATCCCAGGATGCCGAGGCAACAAGCGCCCACGGAAAAGGTGGGATCTGCGCGCCGAGCGAAACGGGCTGAGGGCGGCTTCAAGCACCGGTGTTTTTTCCCGTGGTTTGAAAGACTGAGTCTGGAACAGGGTCAGAAAACAGAGCTTTTTGTGTAGCCCAGATCTAGGCCAGGATCAAGTGGACAGGGATCTTTTGGTGGACATCAGAAATGATTGCTTGCTTAGAATTGTGGCCGCCAACCATTGAGGGCGTTCCAACCAAGATTCATAGCCGAGTATTGCAAGTTTGGCAACAGCGCTGCCAGGAGCAGGTGTTTGAATTAGACTACTGGGCTCCAAATAGAGGCCCCATTTTCAGCAAGTAGATTGGCCAAAAAACTTGATTTGCACCCAGACCCCCCCCCCTTGCCTCCCTTTCCCATGTAACTAGGGTAACCTTTGTGGCTGCCCAGAAAGTTTGAGTCGTAGGCGATCAGTTTGCCGTCTGTCAAATGGTCGTTGTGGCGTGACTGGCGAATCGCCTTCCGATTTCGGCTTACAAGTTGGCGGCAGCCTCGATCGCGCTCTCGATCGCGTCCCAGTTTTGTGCCAGCCTCGAGCTTTCGAAGCCCTCACTCGCCTCTCGATTCTCGCTTCTCAGCACAAAAACTCACAGCCAGGTCGAATTCGATTTCGATCCTCCGAAACGAGGGAGACACATTGGCCGATCGCACCGGGCCATGGTGATGACGTCTTCGAAGCAGGCAGCGAACATAGAGGACCACAAACCCGAGTCCCGGGTCACGCGTGGGATTTGGGGCTTTGCATTACAGCTCGAAGTCGGCGCCTAGGCGTTTAAGAGATGAGAAGTCTTACTATATCTTATGGGTAGAAAGAGCTCAAGCCTATGTAGGAGCTTTGCTCGGGGTTCCATTTCTTGTTTCAGGGTTGGAATTGTAGAATTCGCAAAGTGAAGAGCAAGGCCGGCCCGGCTCGCCCATGGTGCCATGGTCAGCCAGAGCAAGACTTCACCAGTAGCGAAACGCCAGACAAGCCCACAGAGGTTCAGTCAAAATGACTCACTTGTCCTCCCCACGAAAACCAGACTCCCTCACGTTCCCCTGTCCTCTAGAGGAAAGACCGTGCCCAATATCAAAAAACATAGCCCTTGCAGCATTGCTTGTCCAGCTGAGAGTCGCTGTTTTCCATCAGACACTTTTATGCCGCATAGGTCTTCTCATGTGGCATGAGGTCCTAACAAGACTTTCAGAGATTCATTGGCCTTGGGAAGTGTAGACGTTCCAACCAAAGCTCAACTTGGGCAAGGGCAACAGCCAATGCTCTCGGGTCCTGAAGCCTCTCGCAAAGCTCTTGGAATTTTCCAGTGCCGCTGGCGCATGACGGCCTCTGATCCATGCAGATGTTTGTTGAGACATTGAGAGGCCACACTATCACGCTGAATGTTGAGAGCCATGACTCCATTGAGAGTGTGAAGGCGAAAATTCAGGACAAAGAGGGTGCCTACTAGCTCCACCCACCACGAGTAGGACAAAGAGGGGGTGCCTGCAGATACACAGCGCCTCATCTTTGCGGGGATGCAGTTGGAGGATGTTGTAACCTTATCGGATTACAAGATCCCGAAAGAAAGCACGCTGCATTTGGTGTTGAGGCTCCGGGGTATGATCAGCACATTCACAAGCAGCGATGAAGCGAACCCACTGATCAAGTATTTGATGCTTTCCGACGACGACCGGGCACGTGCAGAGGTGCCTCTAGAGTCACTTGTGGCGAAGGCACGCAGCGAGGGCGCAAATCCCTTTCAAACCTTCCAGTTATCAACGGATGAAAACGTCCTTGACCAAGACGGTCGTATGCTTTGCTACTTTCTGGACATGTGGGAAGAGGTTAATTCGGATAGCCAATCCAATCGCATTGACATGCGCATGTGTATCCCGGATGCCCAATTCCTGGAGCTGCTCTCCGGCCATGAGGCAACTGAGATTCTGGCCCAAGTCCATGTTCCAGGCAGTACCGAATGGGAAGAAGGGCTTTTGCAAGATTGCTATGCGAATGAGCCGAGGCCCGAGCATGCATCAATGTTCATTGTGATGGTATCTATGCGACCAGCACTGTCCAGATTGCGTTGAATGACCCGCTCGAGTATGCCGGTGGACGGCTTTGCTTTTTTGTGAACCAGCATCTTCACATGCTGGAGCGTCCCGCCGGGTCTGTATGCAGGCATCCACGCAAGGTGTTGCATGGAGTGTCGGCCCTCACAGCGGGCACTCGCAAGAGCTTGTTTGTTCTCGACCGGAGCAATGGCCTGGGTGCAAGAGCAGAGTGGAGGATAAGCACAAGACCTTGCTCTAGGAAGCCAGGATTCACTCAACTCTTTTCACATGGCTCAAACAGCGCGAATTGCATTCCAATGGCTCGACCGAAGCATTTTCTTTCAAGAGAAAAGCAGTCCCAACACAGGGTTTCCCCTCCGTTTTTTGTTTTTTTTTCTTGGGAACCTCCAAAAGTGCAGTTTGAGTGAGAACCACCAGTAAATTGCAACTTTTGAAGCGAAATCCAGTGACCCCTCACTCAAGGAGTGTATGATCTTGGGGTTTGAAGACCGCAGTTGATGAACAAAAGGACGGGCGGGCGATTCCTTCCAGCATTTACCAAGGTTGTTCAACCTTCTGGATTGACATGGTGAAGCCCCCTTACTGTTGGGCGATGTCGCTTCCGACGCCGACCATTCCACTTTTCGGTGCCTTAGTCCGATCGCCTCCCTGTTTTTCCAGGTGCTTTGATTGCAATAGAACTTGAACCCCTTTGGTTGGCCCGTTTCACTGGCCAAGAAGGCGCTTCATATGTTTGAAAAAAACGGTTCGATTGAAAATGGATGGGTTTGGGGTGGGGTTCCAATCTGTAGATTGTCGATTTTTTGGGGAAGCTACCGTCTTACAAGTGTTTTCCCTTGGACAAGAACAGCACGTCCTGAAGGTTCTCCTTTCTTCCAACCCTTTGAACAATAGATCTCCGAGAAGCAATTGCCATGTACGGGTTCCCATGTGCAAAAGGGTCAAGCTTTGACCCAGAACATTGGACTATAACCCCAACCTTCAGATTCAAACCCTGAAAGCCTTCAAGTCGGACGAGGGAAGTCGGTGGACAAGTTTGGATAGCACATCTTTCCCCTTGTGCCAGTTTGGCGCATTGCAGAGTTCGCCTTCCAAATCGTTGTTTTCCCTTGTCGCACCATCTGCCCCATTCGCTTTCTCCCTTGTTTGCAACCGGGTTCTGCAAATCCGCAGACGTCACGGAGAAATACCCCATGGAACGGGCCCTTGTGAAGACTTGTGGAGGAGTTCTTGTGGAACATCCACACCGCCTTGGTGAGCGCGGCAGGCGCGCGCGAGCTTTCAATCGAAAACCGCTCACCGGGAAGGGAGCGGGGGAAGCGGGGGCTCCGAGTCGGGGCTTCCAAACAGGGCAGCTTTCTGGCGACAAGATGCGTTCAAGACGAAAGGCTTCCATTCTGCGGTTTCTTCCCGAGCCGTGTCAACCAGTGACAGTAAAATTGAAGCACCCGCTGGACATACAACGCACTCTTGAGACTTTTCCGGTGGAAAGTCTGCATGGTCCAGAGGGCGGTCAAACGCGGCGCTTTCTTTTTTGGGGGGGGCGGGGCAGAGTTGGGCAAAATATGCCAAACAGACACTAGACGCCCTTAAAGGGTAACCAAAAGGAGGTTGGTGCAGTTTAAGCAACAGGTGTTTAATCATGTAACAACCGTTGCCTCAACCCTTGTGAACCGCGCTTTTGTTTCGGGGGGGGGGGTGACTTGGTTGACCTCTTTGAGAAAGAAAGCTCTGAACTTTCCGGGAGCCAACGACCCGAGGTGACCCTGTGGTCTTCGACCCACCTGTTTTTGTCCAAATCATCGACGATTTGGTTTTCCGACCACAAACACAGAGGTCAGAAAACTGTTGGCCTGAAGCTTATGTTTTCCCACCAGCAAATGTTCTCAACTCTCAAGGGGTCCGGACCGAATTTTGGGGCAACGACTCGACCAAACGCAGAGGTCCTGTGCAGCTGGACGGCCTCAGGGAGCAGTACTTCAAACACCACGGACACAAGTGCCTCGGGGGAAGTGGTTCTGACACTAAAACTGGCATGGGGAAGACCTCAACAAGTTGGGCGGACATGAACGATGTGATCACGTGACTGAACGAAACCTGTTTGACCTCTTGGGTGTTCCTTGATTTGGGTCTCCCAAAATGGCTTCGATGTTCCTTTCGTCCTTGAAACCAACCCAGAAAGGGTACCCTCAAAAAACCGACCGCCCCATGTCCCCTCTGAAGCAGCGATGTTCCCTCAGCTTTCCACCAGATCCTTGGTCGCTTGGGTGTCAAAATAGGGGTTCGGACCCCCCCAAAAAAGGATTCCAAGAAAAGGGAATTGGGTATCCTCAAAAACAATCACACTCTTTGGTGTAAGAGCAGGCTTGTTGACAGGTTTTCTTGTTGTGTCTCGTTTCGTCCCGCGGTTGAACAGGACAACAGCTTTTAAGCTGCTCATGTTCTTCTTTGCAATCATGATAGGGGTGATTTAGGGGGGAAAAGCGAGCATGCTTTGGGTTGCAGGTTGTAATTGGTGTTCGCGGCTTGCAGCTCTTCCTGCCCCAGACCCGCTGGAAGGTGGAATCTGGCATCAATCAGATGGGCAACCATCCAAAACTGCGTGGATGAAGATTAGCAGGGACCAGCCGCTCTTGCCAAAAGTACCGAGAGTAGGTGTGAAAGGCGTTCCCCCCTCTTGTTTGTTGTCATTGGTTTGTGCAGACCAGTTCCCAGCTTTGATTCTCCTCCCGTTGCCTGTTAAGAGACCGCGACTTTTCTCGTTCAGACGCTTCGGGGCTACGATCCCCATTCGCTTGACTAGGTCCCCCAGTAGTACCCTTTTGCCCTTTTTTGGTTGGGAGAGTTCCCCGAAAATAGACAGAAAAAAAGTCGGGTACCAACTTATTCTAACCCCTCAAATCTGAAGGACCTAGTTGATTCAGCGCTCAGGTGCTACATCGAGCGCTTTCTGGTGGTGGGGGAGGGCGGTCTTGCCGCCACCTTGAAGAGGACGATCCATCGATCAGCGATCAGCTTCAGAGGAACAAATGGACCTTAGCCACCCACATGGCTGGCTCGTCTTTTATTGAGTCGGTAACCCCTTTTTGGGTGAACCTCAAGGAAAAGCACATGGAAAAGCAAGCACCTTCTCGGGAATTCCTAGAAAAAGACACACGCAAACACCCATGTGTAGAGGAGATTCCGTTTGGATGCTTTTCCGTTGCATCCCCCCCTCCAGTCGGAAGGCGTCTATCCAGGTTTGCTTCAAATATGGAACCCGCTCAGCAAGTGGACGGGCTTTCCTTTGGTTCGCTTTTACGCCAGAGACCAAGAAACGAAGTTATGAAATGGAAGCAAGCCATTTGTATACCGAAAGGTTTGATCAGTTTGATGTCTCCAGTCTCTCCAGGTCCTTTGGGACTACTCTGTGACATCTCGCTTTGGGAATTTCCTCGGAGTTTCGGCCACGTGTTCTGTTTCCCTCTTTGGGCTGATGATTCACCAAGTTCAACCGGGATGGCAAAAACTAAGCACTTCTTTCCCAGCCCCGCGATTCTTGGGGCTGCCATCGGCACCGCCAAACTCGCAGGATCCCACATGTTGTCACCGTCTTCATCGAGAACGGCGTCACCTACGTGAAGGCAGCACAGGCAGCAGGCGCCTATGGGCTGAACGTTGATTTTTGGGTCTCCCCAGTAGCGATGTCCCACTTCCCAAGTAGCTAGTGAATCCTAATCCTGGCGTGTCCCTTTTGCAAAAATCGCAGTTTCCCTCGGCTATGCTACGAAGTGGGATACAAGAGCCCGGAGTGTATCGCCGTGGGCTGGTTTTTCATAAGGCACCATACTGAATCCATGCCACTTGGTCCCACTGCAATGACCAATTGCGTCGCATGCGCCATCTGACGCCCGTGTTTCCTCCACGCCCCGAAACCCACCGAAGAAAAGTTACATCCACCGCTTGGAGTCCCGCCAGACATCGACCGGAACCAGCTGGTGGAGGAGGACAAGCGCTACCGCCGGGAGATCGCCAAGAAGAACGCGGCCAAGGCGAGTCCCGAGGCACCCAAACGGAGGGAGCTGTTGGAGGCGAAGGCGCCCTCGTGCTTTCAGGGAGCCAAAAGGATTCGCCCATTTGGGGAGCCCCGCAAAATAGATAAAAGCAAACTGTTCCTGTCGGATAAGGGTGCTCCTAGGCACCCTTTGCCCATCGGTTCGCAGGTGCAAAGGGGCTTGCTTGGCGGGTTGCCTTTGAATCCAACCCAAAGATCCATTTTCGGAGGTCGCGGAGGTTTCTCGGGGGAAGGGATTCGGAAAGAAACCTAACTCAGAGCTCCCGCGTGCCGGCTTTGTGGACGGGGTTGCCTTTTGTGGCCATGTAGCAGAAAAAGGGGAGCCTCAAAATATGGCCCCCTTCTATTTAGATCATTTTCGATTCTCAATGTTGCTTCACAGAGCAAATTTGTTGGGGTCTAAGTCGAGAAGCACCTGGCAAGTGGTTAGGCGCTCTCCTAGGATTCACTCCATCCAAAGGACTTAACTGGTTCAACAGCGGGTTGTGTTTCTGTCCGCAAATGTCCATGAACTAATTTGCGGTGTTCAGGGTTTGAGGACCCCCAAATTTCAGGTAACCCTTAGTTTATGGTTCGGGGATTTGAACCCCTGGCCCCAGAAATGGAACCCCTGAACAGCCAATCCAAACCACCAATTAGCGGGTTGTGCAAGCAACCTCCAAGAAAATACCATCAACAGGGCTCTTTCATGTTTGCGGGTGCTCTCTCGAGCTCTGGCCTAGCTCCCATCTTGATCCTCCCATCTACAAACCCTGCGTTAGCCGCGACGTAAGGCTCAGCCCCGAATGTTCTGTGGTCTATGGTCCATGTAGGGTTTGGGACATAGTGGACGAGCGCTAAAGTCCCACCAAATCCAGGGGGATTCACGAAAATTTGCTGTTTTTGATCCATGCACTTTACCCCCAAAACCAGCAACGGTGTCTGAAAAAAGCGGCAACTTGGCTAGGCCTGTCCTTTTGGGGGAACCTGTCATCTCAATCGCGGGGGGACTGAAATTCCACCACGTCCTCGAAAAGAAATCATGCCTGGCAAAACCTCTACTTGAGTTTCCCCAACAGGCGGCGCAAATGGGCACGTCGAAGGCAAAGGCGCGAAAGTTGGCAGACCCCGGTATCTCTCAACATGGGAACCAGTGCATTTTAACATGGAAGGGCCCTCTCAAGGATCAATACACCCCAGATTCACTTTGATTGGGAAGGTGTCCCTGTTTGGAGGATCTGTTTTCAGAGGTGTCGGTTTTCCTGCTTTTCAGGATATGTCCTTTCTAGAGACCAAGTTTCTTTCATGTTGTTGCTTTTGGCTACTTGTACATGCATGGAGCGTTTGATTCGTCGCTCTTTGTGGTAGGACGGCACAACCACCAACAGAAACCTAGGAATAAGAAGCATTTTAGGAGATCCGGACCACTTTTGTGGCAAGACACCCTTGCATTCGGTTTAGGGAATCCGCGGTCAAAATTGAAAATGAGCCTTGCGGGGCTCCCTGCAATTTGTAAAATGGGGCATGGGGTGTCCCTTTCGAAGCATCCAAAAAGGGGGTCCTAGTTTGAAGAGCTCAACATGCTATAGGTGTTTTGCTTCACAAATGCTTCGAGGGCTCAGTATGTTGTCTCTCATATTGGCGTGTCCTTTGGGGTACGCAACCTCTCCCAAGCTGATCGAAAGAATCCTTGGATCGGGACCCCTTCGATCAGAAAGCTTCCGACCTTTCCTCAGGGGTGCGCCTTTGGTCTCATCTTGAAATGTGCCCAAGAGTTCGTAGGGATCCCTTTGGAGTTCAAAGAGCAATGACAAAGAATCCCAAAGGGGAGCCATCACCATGGCCGAGGAGTTTGACCATGGCACGCATTTTCTTTGGCTTGGGAATCAAAGTCAGTTCCCACGAGTTCCAGTGGTTGGGAATGTCGCCAGCGAAATGTCTGCATCTCGGAAGGAAGTTTACCTCTTTGAATCTTGTGAAGCGGGGTGATGTCTTGCACTGTCGCAGATGACAAGGCGCGGCGCACACGCAACATGGAGCCCGCAGCGGGCGCAGTACTTGGCTCCGCGAGTGGGACATGTCCCAAGATAGCCCGCTGCACCGACGCGTTGGAGAAGGTGGAGAATTGCTTGACTCTCGCAGCTGATAGCTTCTGTTTGGAACAGCGTTCCCTGAATTCGAGGCACACCACATGTCCATCGAGCACACCCCTGCCAAGCTCCACCAAAACTCGGGAAAGTGGGGCACAAAGGATCTGATCCCGGTCACCTTCACAGAAAGCTGCCCGGGTCAGCTGCGAGAACCATCCACTTTCCTACGGGGGTCAAAGCAACCTTTTGGCAGGGGCTTCTGGGCATCAGGGTAAAGGAAGATTTGTTTAAACAGCCACTCTCTTCACAGGTTTCTGGGCCTTGTACTTTTGAGGAAGGCCATTTTGCGCTTTCCACTCAGCAAGTAAGGCCAATGGTCCAACTCCTTTGGGGAAGCCAAAAGAGGTTGGACTCAAAATGGGTCGGCGCACCCAGAAGCATCAGCGCAAGTGAGGTTCGGCCCAACTTCCGGTGTTCTATGGTCCATTTGAGAGAAATGGAATTGGGGGAACAAGCTCGAAAATTCCGACACAAACCAAGGGGACTCACTAGATGCCCCATGTGTTTTGCGGGGAACATATTTTTCTGGATCGTGGCTTCTATGTCACAAACCCTTTGGTTTCTTTGTTTGTCTTCTGAAGCCAGATTTCCCAAGAGACAAAACACAAACCAAGTGAAAGCCGGGCTTCCCTTGGACTAAGTGAACCTACACCCCACTCACCTTGGTCCAGTCCCCCCCTTTTTCACCCTTCTAAGTAGCGATCGCCTCCCAGACCATTCAAGTACCCCTCACCTTGCTCACCTTGCTCACCTTGCTCCTTGGCGCAGGCGGCAGCTCCTCCTGCAGGCAGGATCCGCGGCGATCCTGTCGAGCCTGTGACTTTAAAGGATCCGTCTCCTCCCCTGCCCGGTTTGTGGATCGTTTTTGGTGGAAACGAAAAGGAAAGCCGTGCGGTGCAGGGGTCCTTAGTTTTCAGAGACACGCAGCTCAGTCTCCCGAATCCGACACTCGATTAGACCTTGTTCTGGGCCGGGGGCTTGAATTCGAGTACTTGGAGTCAAAACTGACTCAACTCCTTGTCCCTTCTTTTCATCCGTTCGTTCAAAAAGCCAGATGCATGTGCTTGTTCGAGTCCCATTTGCCAGTTGACCTGTGGGCAATCAATACCTCCGATTGATCCACAGGCCTCGATCCCATCTTCAGCTTCCCGATCGTCCAGACCCCCCACAAAATACCCAGTCATAGACCCTTGCAAGTTCCAAGCATAAAACAATGAACAAGGCCATTGCCCTCGAACATATCGCAGCCAGATCAGACCTTACAGACCCTTGGGAAAAAACCGCCGGTCCTGCCGAACATGTTTCTCAGGATGCGCACTGTGTCCCAACCAGCAACCAACGAATCACAGCATTTGAGGGCTACAAAAACTCCGCCAATCGACGCGTCCTTCTATGCTGAGTGCCAACCATGGAGACGCGGGTGGCGTTTGGTGGCCCAGCGAAGCTGTACGGTTCTTCCTTTTCTAGGGGACAACCAAAATTGGGGCGATCCTTTAATTTTCCTTTAAACCAACCTTAAAAAGGGTGCCCCCCCCCCAAAAAAAAATAAATAAAAACATATGCTTGTGTCTTTGACCCATTCCAGCAAGGCCCGTGGGCCTTCCGCTTGCGGTTGCTGCAAGGCAACTCGAAATCTGCATGTGGGGTCACCTCGCCCATTCTTGGGGCAGACCCAACCAATAATTTTCTGTCACGGTGACTTTCTCATGGTGGTAACACCTCAAAATGGTGGAGGATGTACCTCGCCACAAGTCGGAGGCTGACGATCGCACTTCTGTTTGTTGAGACCTGGTAAATCCAACTGGAAACCAAGAATAGCCTACCTGCCAAACAAAACTCAGGTTAGACTGGCATCAGCCCAATATGCGTCCATCAGCCTTGATGGTTGGTGGACCTTAATCCCATCAAACAGGAGCCCCAGTTGCAACCGCACGGCGCGCAGCAACAAACCCGGCAGGCGCCGAGGCCGCGCCAACGGACGGGCAGGCGATGCGGAGCTTTTGGAAACATGAGAAGTCTGGAAATCAAAGTTGGATTTCTCGGGACAGTGACAGACTTGTCTGCCAGGGATGGTTTTTGTCAAGAGAAACTCACTGCTAGATTCAGCCCAAGCCCAAAGGCTACTCCGTGATGGGCAGTTTCGAGTCGACCACCCCATTCTAATCATGGCTCTCATGGCACCTCCCCCCCCCTTTTCGTTTCCCCCAGACCCACTTGAGCCAGGATGGAAATCCGCGTAGCTTAGGTGACTTCCACATGTTCCAGGTTTGTCTTTCGGCGAAGGGAAGAAGTGTTCGAGTTGAAAGGGCAGGTTCCAGGCAGGGCCATGCCTTGTGCCCAACGCCCGCGTTAAAGAGGATGGGAGGATGGGAATTGGGCAAACTGGATTGCAACCTCATGGATGGTTTGCTTTGAGACATGAGGATGGCCTCAAACGCTGAAGGTTCCTTGCGTAGAATGTGTAATTTGGCCGCCCGGGTCCCCGCATTGACAAACCCATGGTGAATTTGCCCAACTGACGGCTTCACGCCGGGCACGGACGACTTGGCTTGATTGTCAAAATGTTGGAAAGCGCACCAGCCCATGTTTGGTGGGCCTCTTAGGAAAATGGTCCCAACCAGGACGCCCCCCAAACAAAAATCAGGCTCAACGTGGTGGTATGCCCCATGGTTGCAAGTTGTGGATTTTGGCGGATGAGTTTTTTATGGGTGGCTCAGAGGCCATGGTTTGGTTCATCCCAAGACCCGTGTAGTCGGTGCCTCAAGCTCAGGCGAAGAGGCCGGCAGAGGAGGCTGCAGGCAACGCGGAGAAGAAAGCCAGGCGCGGTTGGAGTCGGAAGCGCTGGAAGTTCTGTCGACTTGTGGACTCGCGATAGGAATTTCCTGTGAGGTGTTCTGTCTTCCTAATCTGTGGCATTTCCTTGCAGCCCCCTAAAAATGTGTCTAGGGTTTTTCTAGGGGGGTTCCTTTGAACCCCCAGAGAGATGCTGGTCCTTTGTGCTAGTTTGATATAGTTGGCAAACCAAATGGAATAACGGAGCTCAAGCGGATAGCTTCCGGTTGTCAGAAGTCCTGCATGCCCCTAAGTGCACCTAGAACTCCCTCCAAATTCCCCGACAATGAACGCAGCACTCACTCAAGCAACGGACCTTGCTCTAATGCAGGCTCTGGCCCGCCAATCTCGCAGATTGTGGCGACCTCGCAAAAGGGAGTTGCGACCCCACCAACCCCACCCACACCAGAGGTTTACGGACTGGCCTGCTCCTCACCCGGAAGGGTGCCAACTCCAACCACCACACATCCTGCAGCCAGTCCAGGAATGATGCAGAAGTGGAGACCTTGGCGCGCATGCTCATCCAGGCACAGTCTCGCTTCGGCCAATTTGCGGTCGCCAGTCAGCTCGGCCAGTGGCACAGACTCCCTCCCGCAGTTCCCGTGACTTTGGTCACTTTTTGGGTCTAAACCATTTGTGAATGAAACCTTCTTTGCACCCTTTGGTGCCCCATCTTTGCAATTGCTCAAAGTCGACCTTTTGACCTTCCGGTTTTCCAGCGGTCCATGTTGAGGGGTGCTCATTCTGTGAAAAGATGGCCAAAGCTCAAGTTGGTATTGGCTGAGTTCTTGCTTTCCATGAGGGCTACCATTCTACCCTTGTGCCAGGGATCAGAGCAGCATTTATCCATGGCCCTGAAGACGATCTTTGTTGCCAAGTCATTTGGGCGAATGTGTCTTGCCAGTCATTCGGTTTTGGCCCGCAAAATTTGTACGAATGTCCATGTGCCCAGATCTTTGGCAAAAAGGAGGCCAACTACAGGGTTGCGCAAAGTGTTACCTGTTGGCCTTGCTGAATATTTCATTCGCCAACTCATTTCCAATATATCCTTGTGACCGGGGAGGCAAAGAGCCCTCAGATTGGGTGAACCAAGCAGTTATCAAGGTCCTTTGTCTTAAGTGCACTTGCCTCTTGTTTCGTCGTTTAATATATATATATATATATATATTGAATTCCAACATGTCCTTCGTTTGGAACAAGGGTTCCATCGAAGATGACCAATGTGCATGCTCTTTTTTCCCTGCAGTTTTGAGGCAAAAAAAATCGCGGGTTGGCCGTTCGGCATGGGATGGCTCCATGCTCAATGAGCAAGAGGCTTAATGTTAACCCCGGATCTAAGTAGAACCCCTGGTTGATTTTGATTGGGGGTATCCCATTCCTTTTAGTGGGGAGTCAGACCACTTTTGGAGGGGTGTCCACCCCCCTAATAGTGGGACGGGCTTATTAATCCTGGGTGAACATTGGCCAATTACTTTCGCTTATCACTAAAACGCGCGTTCTCAGTATCACAAGCCTAGAGGCAAGCTTCCTCCGGTTGCCTGTGGTGCTAGTTGGAAGGGCTAAAGTTGCAGGCATTTTAATGCTTTGAGCGCAAAGCATGTGGAAGCTCGTTTAATCAAAGATATCCTTGCTCGCTGGCTGTTCAATGGAATTCGTGGTTCGCCGATTATTTAGGGTGACCCTAATTCTAGGAACACCTCCTTGACCGTGCAACAAACTCTCGAACATGTTTAACACTCCCAAATGGTTGATACAAACAAGAAGGGTACCGGGTTTTACATTGTCGCTGCTTCTATCTGATGCGTTCAATTCTCAGAAACAGATGTAGATGTGCAAGGTCTGGCTGGGTCCATGGGCCGCGAACGCGCATCTCTCTTTTTTGTTTGGGGCGCGTCCTGAAATGATGGAGCCCTCGGTTGGATTGTCCAGCTGAAAGGAAGCCAACAACCTCGGGCCATAGTCAACAACCATTTGGGTTGGTCTCAAAATGGAGTCGGACCCCCAAAAATACCCTTTTAAGAGCATCAAAAGCGGTCACCCGAAAACAGACGGCCCGCTTCACAGACCCTCACTGAGACTTTGACCTGCTTCTTGGCATACCGCTCAAGTAGCCTTGAGATGAGGGAATAGTACAATGTATGCTTGAAATGTTCCTGTTTCTGTTTGGTTCAACGACGAGGACATGTTCTTCACTATGTTTAAAATGAGGATAGTGTATGTCTTAGTTGATTTGTTGCTTCCGGTTCCTGTTTGGTTTACTAGGCGATGAACTTTCATGGCAAAATGGTGAGCGAAGGACGTGAGTCCAACGATATATTCATGATGTCCACCGAAAACAATGCCACCTTTAGATCCTTCAAACGTTAGTGAGAGCTTCCCCAACGCTGCGGGCCGCAAGGGCGTGGTGCGAGTTCTGCAGAACCGAGCGAAAGCTGGGAAAGGCGCGCGAGGCTCAGGTCGTAGTCTGAGCTTTGGTCAGTCAGAATGAGTTGTCTATGATATGGCAAAAGTTGAGGTGCTGGACATGGGGGGCGAGTTCAAAATGTCAACAAAAACTCGGTGGCGAGCATTTGGAGTCCCATGTTGAGTAGGGCAACAATAATCGTTGACTGTGGCTTGGGTAATCATGTGGGCAGTGATTTCCTGGCACCATCCGGTCGTGATTTTGTGTCCTGAAGTTGAAGATCCACAGTGCTGTTGCGAGGGCAAAGGAAGCGTTCAGACTACTAGGAAAAGCGCACTTGAGGTTTTGTCAGAATTTCCAGCACTCCATGGTCCATTTGCGAGGGACCCCAAAATGTCTCAGAAAAATCAGGGCGGCTCTCTTTTTTTGCAATGTCCAGGGTACCAGTCGATTTCAACCGGGCTCACTTTATTATCCGATTGCCATGGATCAAGAGACTGAATGAGTTGATGCTTCAACAGTGATCAACTCTCTTTGAGCCCAGCTATCTGCCCAGTGCTCTTCTTTGGCTCTGAGGCTGATGTTTCCCGTTTTTGGATGGCTCAAACATCGCCTGGGCCACGTGTTGAGTGTCACTGAGGCCCTGCCCATGAACGATCTGGAGACGGAGTTTAAGGACACGTGCCAGCATTGTCAATTTTTGACATTGGGAATGTACGCAAAAGTGCAGGAATATTGCGCGCTAAGTTGCAAACCTGCACCTTCCAAGCTCGCTTGCGGATTTCTTGACCCGATTTGGGGGATGTGAAACAGGTAGCAAATGGACAACCCCAAATTATGCGAAGGGCACGAAAAGTGCATCCTGCTTTCCTTCGCGAGAGTGTTGAAGTTCTGAGAGGTCAATAGAAACCGTGCGGAAGGTAGGTCCTAGCACAAACGCCATGCATGTTTGAGCAGATTTTGACGATGAACGCGCAAAGCGTTCGGAGGAGCTGTGGAAGGTGCCCTTCAACGTGAAGCAGGCCAACGAGACCGACACCGTGGCCTTCCTCCGGAAGTGGCCCAGCAAGGCCAGCGAGGGGGGCAGGAGGCCAAGAACGGAGGGTGACTTTTTTTTGGTTGAGAGGCACCATGGGCACCGATGTTGTGGTGGTTTTTAAGGGCTCCCCGGTTTAGGTGGTTTCAAAAGGGAGACCAAAAGGAAAGCCGTGGCATGTTGGGGGTCCAACCCAAGAAAGAAGGCCCAAACACCCAAAGGGAAATGCGAAGATGGGTTAAAATATGTGGGGGATCTCCCCTATGTCCTGAAGCGGTTGCCCGGTTTTCGGATTTCTGCGCAGAGAACGCTCGAGCACCAAGCCATGTTTCATGCGTAAACCGAGCTGCTTATTTTTTCAGAACCAGACGGAGGTGCGGTCGCCAAAAAAGGTGAATACCTCATTTGTAGCAGAGTTTTACAGAGACAACATAGGCAAACAAGAGATGCTTTCTGACGTGTGCTGGTGAGGTGAAAAATGCTGGCTCTCAAGAATCAAGGGGGGTTTTGGAAAGTGAAAAGTTTAGGAGTCGCTCCCGCACTGCCTGCTGACTATGAATGACTCGTGGGGGATCGTCTCGCACAGGTTGAGGTCATCCAGCAGGGGGAGACGACCCTGGTGCCGCCGGCTGGACTTGAACTCGAGCGAGAGGGATCGTGCTCTGGTCGGCATGCTGCTACTCGAGGGGTGGGCCCCAGGTTTGGCCCCGAAAAACAAGAAATCAAAAAGATAGGGACAAAGACAGAGGAGAGGAGGGGCAGGAAGAGGGAGAGGGAGAGGGAGAGAGGGAGGAGAGGGAGAGAGAGAGAGAGAGGTTGTGCCAGTGGCTCTTTGACTCTGGGACGTGACTGGACTCCCTGGCAATACCGTCGTCAGGTCCAGCTTGCGCCAGCCAAGAACCTGAAGCCTCCGCCCAAAGCGAGCCAGGCGCCACTTGCGTGCGTAGAACGTTCAACTCTGGTGATGGCAGGGACGCAGTCACTGTACACCTTACATGTTTGCCGAGGCATGGTATTCAAGAAATCTGTATGGTCTGGTATCAAATTTGGAACCTCGAGGGCGCTTCCCCTTTGGTGTCCTTTTAACGTATCCCAGCCTCAACTGTAGCCGACTCATTGTACCCGGCCCAAAAGTCCTAAGTCGAGGCGTCGTGTTGCAGGAAGAGGCCCCAGCCGCCCCGGCCGCCCCGGCTGCGCCGGCTGCGCCGGCCGCCCCGACCGCCCCGGCCGCCCCGGCCGCCCCGGTGCCCGAGCCCAAACCGGCGCCACCGGAGCCCAAGCCAGCAGTGCCGAAGCGGCCAGGCGCAGTGGGCGAAGGGGGGGGGAGCCTTGAGCGACTCCTAGGAATCTCTGGCAAGAGTTCCTTCATCCGTCCTCGAAATTGCAGAAAACCCACTCAGTTCAAAACCCGGGGCGCCTTCGCGAAGAGGTTTCCCACATTATTCGAGCCATTTTGCTTGGTGAAAGGGAACCAAGAGGAAACAAACCGTTCAAAAGCGCGACTTTTGAGAAGCTAAAAGGTGTGGGTGAGTGTGTTGTGTTTTTCCGGACCCTGGAGAAGACTAAGAACCTTTCTTATCTTATGCCTATGGAGAGTGCTTGCCCTCGCCTTTCGGTGCCCTTTGGCTTCTGCGACCGAGCTTGACCATGACTCAGCCCGGGTGGGGGCTCAAGAAAAAGCAAACGGGTCGACCCTTTGGACCAGGTTTACTTCTGGTTCTCCCTTCCTGGCCCTACCTCCTGGTTGGGAGCTGAGCAGAATCCTGGCTTCTCCAAATTGCGTGACATTGGCAGACAATCAGTGCAGATTTTCCCTGTCCGGTCTTTTGGCATCAATTTGCAGTTTAAGGTTCATCAAATATGGACCAGAACCCAAACACTTAAATCTCAGCTTGAGGCAAAGAGCTTTCCTTGAGTTTATGTGTAATCGACACATGTGTTCGTTGAGGAGTGGCGGGAAATCGGAGGGTGGACCGCCTCAACCGATCGCTGCGGATATCCGCCTCTGTATTTATTTTGGCTTGAGTAGCTATGTTCAGGGGACCCAAAAAGGTGTTTCCCAGCCGCTCCTTGAAGTGATCTGTCACGATGTTGGCATGGCTGCCCTTTTAGATAAAGGCTACAACCCCCACCCCCCCCCTCTCCCCCCATTTTCAACGTCCGGAGACAGCCCACCCACTCCAAATCCATGCGAAGCCAGGGCCCTCGCGACCGCCGGGCACCATCCAAGACTTCCTGTGGAACCTGCACACCTTGCTGCATGCTAACGCAGGCCGAGCTTTCCCCGCCCGCTGCGGTTTTGCTTTCGCTGCCAAGTGGGTCCTGGGAAAAGGGCCATAGGAAGTTCTACCTACTTTACCTGGGTTTATCATCCACAAGAGTTGATGAGTCATTTGCTCACCTTCCTCACCCGAGCTTCGGAGACAGGGGATACAAAAAAAACGACCGATCGCTCCTGTGGGACCTTTGTGACGTGCCGCCCTTCACCGGGGCAAATGTTCCGCCCGTCGATTCCTGCAACAAGTCTGAGCGAGCGATAGGCCGAGTCCCGCTGGAGCAGCTGAAGGACGTGTACTTCAAGCACTTCGGGCACAAGCGGTGGCCCTAGCGACGGGCACAACAGCAACGGTTTGGCAAGAATGTGGAAACCCCACGGGTGGCCGAACCTTTTTTGCAGTTTTTGTTTCGAGACCAAATCTCAGTTGCCGGTCCAAAGGCGGCAAGCCATGATTTGGTCTGGGCTTTGTCGTGCAGCTGACTGTGCGTACTTTGTGATCTCAGTCAGGCAAATCGACCTTCCAGCTTGCCTTTCAGATTTCCAGTTTCCAATTTGTGTCAAGGTCCGGGCTGAAGTCCCCTGAAAGTCTCATTGAAGCCCGCTGAAGCAGTCGGAGTTCCCCAGACAAGGTGACTGCGAACCCGCTGGCGAGCAAAAAGCTTCAGTTTTCGAAAGATTGCAAAGACCAGCCCAGCAGTCCAGAATTCTGGGAAGCATTCAAACAGCCTGACTGTTGGAAAGCTTAGTCGGTGTCCAGCCATCTATTCACCAGTCTTTGCACGTCTGCCATTACGCATGGGCAGCAACTCTTGCACTGGGTTATTGGGACAACTAGTACCGGGATTCTTGCAAAGGAAACCATGGCCGGTGATCACATAATACGTGATGCTCCAATATACACATTTTTCCTGGACCCCTTACATCAATCCATGCGCGTGTTTGTGGTTGTGTTTTCCATTTGGTTCAGTTTCTGTTCTGTTTCTTTGTTCTACTCTCTGTGCCTGCCTGTTTGTCCATCAGTCTGTCGGTTTGATTGCTTGCGGCTTTGTTTCTAAAAACGGCTCTCCCGCTTCCAATTCCCATCAAAAATTACCATCCAACTCTTCTAGGTCCCCCAAGAGTGCCCTTTTGCCGTTTCTTTCTTGGGGGAAAATTCCCTTACTAAAATAGACTACAAAAAAAAAGAGAACCAACTTATTGTAACCTCTCTACATTTCTACCCAGTTCAACCCATGCCGGTCTCCCATGGCCAGCAAATTTCCCCCAAGGTGCGGCATCGAGAAATTCCTGGTGGTGGGCGAGGGTGGCTTGCAAGGTACCTTGAAGAGGCGGCTTCGGGACGGGTGGTTCCGCGCCAGACAGGTGTTTGTTTGTTGTAAATAAATATATATATATATATAGTTTTCGAGGAAGACCCAGGTGACAGAAACGTAGAGGGGCAGCTTGAGAATCTTGAGCTACGCGATGCGGCTCGAAGATGTTCAAGCACGCCTGCTGGCTGGCATTGTTTCAGCTCTTGGGAATACAAGTGGATGTGTGGTTTTTTGGAAAAGGGGTTTCTTCTCACAAACCAAAGGAGAAACACCCATCGGTTGGGTTCCTGCGAAAATATGCCTAATTGCGTCCCATCCTCGACCTCAGAATCCAGGCTGGCAAGCCATCAAGACATGCTTTGCAGCGAATCCTTCCAACGACCTTATGTCAATCACTCATGAAACTTGACCTATGGACTGAGGAGTCCTCGAAATGAGGAGTCAAACTGTTGCATCATTCGTTGGAAATGAAAAGTGAAACTGTGATGCGTTGCGTCCTCGGGTTGTCTCTGGCTTCCCGTACAATTCATTATGTCCAACCTCCCATTCCAAAACCCATCTCTCAGCCGATTCCGAGGGCTCGACAGCCACCACGTGGGCAGGCACTTGAACCTCCATTGCTCCAGGTTGCTTGGTCTTTTTCAAAAACACACGCAAGCTTGAACGGTTTCATGTTCAGCCCCCAATTCATGGAGACTGGCAGCAAGCAGGTATGAATGTTGTCCGAACTTGCTAGCTTGAGAAATGTCACTTGCTATACGGATGCCATTCGTGGCCTCCTGAGGGGACGTTGTTTCTCAAATCTTGCATGAGTTTGCCGGTGAAGAGAAGTGGTGCAGAAGAAAACAGCCGGTGGGTGCACGTGCTAAACTGGCGCGGGTTGAGGCAAGACTTTGATGTTTGTGCTGGCAGAGCAGGTCAGGTTTCATGCCATGTTACAGCACGGAGCTCATGCATGCTGATCGCATTGCAAATTGCTTGTGTCTTAGTACATGTGTCCTGTTTGCTGAATGCATCGTTTTTTCTTTTCCCGCGGATTTCATGCTTTACCGCTGCATGTGTGTTATGTGTGCTGGGGCTCGTTCTCTGTTTGGGGTGCGTTGGTGCCTTTTTGCTGTTTGCGCCGTGGGCAGGTCATGGATGCCATGTTGCTCACATATTGGTTGGGCCGGGCTAGCCTGCAAGCTAGCCCTGAAGCCCCCCTGGTTTCCAACCGCATCCAACCGCGATGCTTCAGCAGTACGTAGTTGCTCGTGGGCGTTGTTTGCAGCGGTGAATTCCGTGCCATGTTCCCCACCACAGCGTGTTTTCCAGCATAGTGCTTTTGCTTGGGTACTGCGCCAAGGTTTCAAAGAGAATGTTGTTTGTCAGTCTGGTTGCAGGCTGTAGGTAGGGCAGGGACGGAGCGCAGAACTTGGCCAGGAAAAGACCGCTCAAACATGCCGTGCGAAACTTCGACCGGCTGGACAGAACTTCGCAACTCGGAAATTCTGGCCGGAAAAACTCGGCAAAATGGAGAGGCCGGAAACATTGGGCAGACAAGCTCGGACAAACTGGCGGGAAGAAAGCGGACAAGCAGGTCGAAAACTTCGAGACTGCTGTTTGTACATGCAGAAGGTATGTCTAGGACCTCTCAATGGGTGAGGCATTAGTTGCGAAAGATTGCTAGTTTCAAAACAGAAAAGGCCTGCATGGGCTCTGCACCCACCAGGCAATCAAAGGCTGTCCATTCCTGCAGCTGGTCCTCCACTTTGTGCGCATTCAGACGATGTTCCTGCATACGCACGGGAAGCAAACCAAAGGCTCGCAAGCAGGCATATTCACTCAATCAATCCTGGGCTTCAGGTGGGGTGATGTATAAAACTATTTTGGATCCAGCTGTTGCCGGAGCCTGCGCAAATTGCGACACTGGAAGCATCGCAGACCCGCAGTGCTGCCCTTGCTTTCTTTTTGTTAGGTGGATAGCCATGAGGTACCTGTTTGTCAGCCAATGTCGTTCAACTTGTCCAAAACTCTCACATTGAAGCCAAAGAAACTCGTTTAAAGGACGAGAAAGGGTTCGTTCCATGTTCATCCGCAGGAGAACACTTTTGACGGTCAGACGCCGCACATGCGAGCCAATGGGCAGTCAAAATTTGTCGGGTAGACGTGCGGAGATGCGCGAACCAACCTCCTCCAAAAGCTCGAGTGCGTTTCTTTTGGTTCACTGGCAAGATCCACCCCTTTGTGGGCCTTAGCTTTTTTTGGAGGCCGCCTTTCCAGACGCCAGGATACCCCACATCGTCCAGATAGTGCAGGCAGGGGAGACAGCGCGCTCGGATGTGTTTCCAGTCCATTTCAGCCACAATCCAAATCCGGGTAGATGAAGGTTAGTAAGGGACGATCCCAGCCATAAATAGCTGCGGCCGCCTTCTTAATCCTGTACATGGTTCTGGGTAGACCATTTTAGTACCAGGTTTTGATTGCGACTCATTTGGGAACGAATCTGAGCACGTATTTTCGGGATATATGTGTTTTTCTGGCCCCCTATCGTTTTCTGGTGGGAATAATCCCATTTCCTTAATCGGTTTTTGGAACTCCACCTTGAAGGGTGCAGGGGCTTCAATGAGCCCATGTAGATGGTTCTTGTTTTTGACAGAAGAGACACGAAAGCCGGCGGGGTGTGGGTTTTGGCTGTATACTTACATATATATATATATATATATATATATATATATATACATATATATATATATATACATATATACATTCTATACATATATACACAATACATATATATATATATATATATAGATACGTACATATTCTATACACCTTATGCAGGTGGTAAAGCCAGACCCCATCCAAAATGTCTACACCTGAAAGTATCCCGTCTAATGGGGTTGGGAAAATCGACAGGAGAGCGAGGTGATCCTCAAGCCCAGCTTGGCAGCAGGCAGTCCGGGGCAACGCCAGTTGGGAAGGTTGGTTTATTGCTACCCAGACCAATTTTTCGTGCGGCAGTTCCCTTTTTTGGGAGGGCGGGGTGTCCCTTTAAGATCAACCGAAGGAGCGCCAGGTGTTCTTTTTGTCCCATGGCCGCGGCCGCTGGATGTACGTTTCAGGGATATGAAGACACCCCTGGTAAGACTTGAGCGGCCAAGTGAAGCATGGGTTATTGGCTAGGGAGCTGACCCCAGTTCGCCCAGTGATGCATTTTGCCCGAGCACCTCGTCTCAAAGCTGCAGGTGGATGCTGAATTTACTGGGTGGTCTTTAGAAAAAACGCTTTGGGTTTCTATGAAAAAGCACCTTTCATTTGGTTGTCTTAACAAAATGCACTAATTACATAGGCGGAATCCAGCGTTGAGGTTTTAAATAGTTGAAATGTTTGCACTTTGTTCATGTGCCTGATTTGAGCCCCCAATCGGGGAGCCATCGCGGGCCCTCGTTTTTGCAAGTCAACCAGCAGCGTAACTTGCAAGGAAATTACGTGCAGTACCCCGAACAAGGATCAATCCTCGACTCAGATGTCTGCCCAGAAAATTCGCAAATTTGAAGGTTGCTTTGGGAAAAATGGTTATTGGAGCGATGCATCATGTATCCCAAAGGGATCCACGTCAAACCCGCCACTGCGATCTATCATAGGTTTCTGGGCATCTGGTTGACAGCACCTTACGTCTTATGCTGTAAGGAGTGCTTGGCTTTGTTTGCTCGAGGCACATTCTCCCATGATTTGTTTTGGAGGTCTTATCTTGTATGCTGATTTGGAGCCATAGTATGGGTGACAAATAGTCACCATGAGCAAACGTTGGGCTTCCCGCAAAGCTCTGGGTTCTCACAAGCAAGGTATGGAGAACCCCCAATGCTCAGGTTACAAACTCACTCGGATGGCCACTGCTCGGTTGCCCCTGTGAGCGGCACCTTGTCCTTTTGTCTTGAGTCATGATTATGTCTCTAGGAGATTCCTTTCTCCCTCTCAACCAGTGTTCTTGTCAAAGTTACCCCTAGGCTTTTTCCCCTGTCTGTTGGTTCCGTCAAAGTCCAAAGCGAGGCATCCGCACTGTTAAAGGGAGACTGCGTTCCCAAGTGGATCTGTTTTGATCATTTGGGAAAGCAGGCCTTTATGTTACTTAGCTTACCTTTTCGAAGCAGGGATCTTCTTTTGAAACTGTTTATCTGCACCTCTTAAAAGCCTTGAAACGCATACATCATTCCTGGAAAAGCATATATCATCCACCACCATACAGCCCTGTTCATGATACGCAGCCTTAAGCAATTTCACAGAAGCCGATCAGGACCCGTCTTGGCCCCAACTGCCAGGTGCCACTCGGGAGGACCTGGCCGTGGAGGACGAGAAGTGCCCCACAGAGCCATGCTCAACGATCGCGTGCGAAACACTTGGGTTCCCAAAACTGAGTCTGGGCCCCTCAAAGAAAACTAGGTCCCCCAGTGCCAACTTTTACCGTTTCTTTTTTTGGGTTTTTGGGTTCCCCTACTAAAATAGACTACAGAAAAAAGGGTACCCTTGTTTTAACCTCTCTACTGGAGGACCTAGGTGAAGATTGGTGTTCTCAAAGTTGATTGGGGATGGTTCCCACTTAAACGAGGATGTCACCTTACCGGACCCAGGATTCGCTAAGGGCTTAGCTTGGGTGTATAACCACTCATCACGACAAAAGGTGCATCCCGTCAGTTCTCCAACTCCGCCTTGGAAACCCTTTGAGCCAACCATCGAGTCGCCTGTAGACTGGGAGAGCTTCGCCACTTCCGGAGCCGGCTGACTGCTTGGACCTTTCCGAAAAGATCTCTGGATCGATTGTTTTCCTGTAAAGATTGCAGAAAGGCCGGAAAGGCCCACGTCACACGCGTTGCTTGAAGAAGCCATCGTTGAACAGGTTCAGAACAGGTCAACTGTGCCCAAAGGTCTGAGTTTTCAGATAAGCTCTATTTTGTGCATATGTTGCAGTGGCTGTTGATAGCACCCGTCGAGTCGAGTGTTCATGACAGTCTCAACGGTTGAACCTAAAACTTGCCCTGCAAGATGCGCCATCTTGCCGTGTAGCCTTTCTTTCTAAGCGTGGCGAGCTGCCAATTCCAATTCGCAATCCATATCAATGCATAAAAAGAACGTGTTTGTTACATTGCTGCCATCGATGACTCAGGGATTGATTCTATAAACGCCAGTCCAATGAAGAGCTGGTTTTTGGTCTTCGTGGGTGTGCCACAAGGCTCGCAAGAAAGAAGAGGATACTATGCCGCTCAGTCTTGCTTGATGTGTGCGTGCTTGAGCTCATGAGCCCATCCTGCTCTTGACTGGGAATTGGCTGTTTGTGTCAAGCCGGTGTATGTGCCTCCTATCCGCTACCTGATTGGGTGCTCCCGGAACTCTCAAAAGGGACCCTCTGGGTTTCATGCAAGATGGGCGTGTGAGCGGTGTGCCTTTCTGTATTCGCCGTGCGGCCTTCTCACGGCCACTCACTGCAGGTACAGGAAAAGCTTGCAGCAGAAGCAGATGGCTGCCAAGGCACACGTCTTCCAGGTACCTTCCCACTCTGTTTGAATGGTAAGTCGCGACCTCCATGAAGGTGTCCTTCTGGAGTCCGTTTCTTCCTTCAATTTCAAGTTGCGGAACTACGATAATTAACCCCAGGCAAGATCAGAGCAGCCAATGGCAAAAAGCTCCCAAAGCTTCCCCTTTGGTTTGAAAATCGCCTTTCCAGTTCAAAGGGGAGGGTTCCTGATGTTTAAGCACTCTGACACTTTTCTTCCGGCTGATTTAGAGGATCCCCTTGAAGGAATGTCCTCCCAAAGGCCAAACGGCCCGCAAGCGGCAGGCAAAGGCCACACCGGCCGCCCCGGCGGCAGCCTCCTCGGCGGCCTCCTCGGCGGCGGCCTCTCCGGCGTCTCCGGAAGGCGCTGAGATCGCCGTGTGGGTTTTGGCTCAGAAACCGAAAGGAGCATAGGTGTTTGCTTAACAAATGGACGATTCCTGGTTTAGATGGGGGTTTATTCCATTTACCAGGGAAACCCATCTATTTTTTCCAAAAGGCCACCTATGGAAAGGAGACCAACGATTTGATGGGGGAAACCATTTTCTAGGGGACACGTCCAACCATTCTTTCCAGGGATCCTTCTTTTCAGAAAACCAGCGGAATCCAAGGGGAAACAGCTGGTTTTTGAAAAGAACGATGGTTGAAAAGAGTTTTAGGGGAAACCCCTGTGGCAGGTAAACCATTCAAGGGGACCATTTCAAGAACCTCGCGGTTGGCATTCTGTTGCGTAGCTCACGTCCCTTTTCCACCCTTCACAAGCAGCGTCCCTTTTCCCTGTGCCGTCAGGGGTACTTAATTGCTGCATGTGGACAGGTCCTGTGGTTTTGCCGCGCCTTTCCGTTGATGCACAGTGCCCCTGGAATCTGTGTTGGCTTGTGTTTAGTGTCGCTTGCACTTTGGCCTCAACTCATGTTCAAGAAGCAAAACTTAGCTGTGTCTCTGGCCGTTGGGCACTTTTGGATCAAGAAGGGGAACTCCACTGAATAGCTATATTTCCCAAAGGGTCTGAATGTGCCCAAACCCAGGCTGACAAAAGCATCCTGGAAATCTTGAGCTCCTTGCCAAGGTCCGAGCGTTCACGGACTTGCTCCAAGAATCATTCAGAAGGGGACCTGACTACTTGGGCTGGCGGACCGCGCTTGGTCTTTTCCACGAGCAAGGAGACTTCCAACCAGAGGTCGTCCTGACAACATGGTCTTGAAGCATCTATCCTTTTGGAAAAGACGTGTTTGTTACATGCAGTTGGCTTTGAGTGTTGAAGCTGGGAACCATAGAGACAGGAGCTGCCAATGCAAACGGACGGCTTGTTCTTTTTACTTTTGCTCCAGCCTTTTGATCTGGCAGCAGATGAGTTGCCAACGGGGGCCTTAGTGCAGCCGAGTTCGAGACATCTAAGCCGCCCCCGACCCCTGACTGTCCCTATCGCCCTATCCCATTTGCAGAATCCCGTTCAACGAGTCTCCCGAAAATGGGCTCAACGAGTCGCTCTCAGATCTGTGAGGTGAGAAAGACCCCAAGAAGGCGCGCATGGAGGATCCCGAGACCCTGCAGCGGATGCTCATCCAGGCCAGATCTCTAGGTAAAGCCGGACCGGGAGAGCCGGAACCACCGTTTACAAAAAGGAAATTCGGAGTCACCGGTGGTAAGAAACCCCAGGGTTTGGGTTTCAGGTCAGCTTTCGTTTGGGCCCAGAAACAACTGTTTAACTGTCCTAAACCAATGCCTCAAAAAACATTCAACTTTTGTTGTACAACCAATTGGGCGGGAACAACATGGTCCAATGACAAGATGCCGTGTTTTGTCTTTGGCCAGCGGGAATCAAGAGATCGCTTGTGCGCGGTTAAAGTGAAAAGGCCCGCGAATTCAACCACAACCTTTTGCTGGGTCTGCAAGGGTTCCTACCATCTCCAGGTAAAACTGAGCAATCAGATTTTACCCTTTTGAACAATTTCTGCTTCTCTTACCAACTCAATCGACGCGATGCTTCCCTTGTTTGTTGCTTGCTTTGCTTCTTCCGGTCCTTCCCTCGGTCCTGCCAACTCATTTTCAACCAAGTGTGAGAGCTGTGATCAAGATCCGTGAGTGGCGCAAGAAATGTTGCAGGTGACCATGCATGCGAATTGGAGTTGCTTTCCTGCATGATGCAGTGGTGTTCGGATATGGGGACTCAGTAAGTCTTCACCAAAAAGCAAGGAACTCGCTGATGTCCCAGTGGTGTGGTCAAGGGCAATATCTCGGGAAACCCGCAATTTGCCGGGGCGGCTTTCTGGTCCAGTCTTGGGAGAAACTTCTGCAGGACTTTAACCCAGTTGGAAGACATGCTATCTCGAAGCAAGTGGCCGAAGAAAGAGACGAGAGACAAACATTCTCATTGCCTGGCTCCCCTTGGATACTTGCAGGGAGCCCCAATAGTTCCACTGCACACAGCACCTTCCAAAAGGAGGCTCCATCAAAATTGGGCACAAGGGCCACTCCTCCCAAAGGGAATCATAAGCACCCCAGTTGCCCCAGTTGACACCGAATCTCGACACGGTGCAGCGTTCCCATCATTCACAATATTGATTGCTTGCTTGATTTCTTGCTTGGTGAGTTTTTCCAGTCTTCGCGAAAATTCACGAGCCAGGGAGTGCTCCGGGTGCTGCAGAACCGCGTCAAGGACCGGCGAATCAGGGAAATATTGGTTTAAGAAGACGAACCACATCTAACAGTCGCGGGTTTGCGTTTCGATCGCTTCTGGTTAGGTTTGTGGAAGATTGGCGGTCTTGGGTCCCACGTTATGCGCTACACAGGGATGCGACTTAAAATCGGGGAACCCGACATGGTGGCTTCCCCTTGATATCCCTTTACACCGACCCCAAACAGGGTGCTCACAACCTGATAGAAGTCACGAACCCGAATGCAGACAAATTGCCCAAAGTTACCGTTGCATGTCTATTCGTATATGTCTCTGCCTATTGGCCAGTCTCTGCCTATTGGCCATTGATGTGTCTATCTAGCCGTCTACCTATGTATCCGTGCATCTATGTGTACATCTACTTGTTTGCCTGCCTACCTGCCTATCTATCTATGTATCTATCGATCTATCTATCTATCTATCTAGCTATCTATCTAGCTATCTGTCTACATCTATCTAATTCTCAATCGATTTATTATCGAATTGTCGACATGTGTTCTTCTACCTTTTGTCTATCTATCTGCCTGCATATCTATCTACTACCTACCTGTCTGTCCCTCTACCTAGTCATGGCTTGCTATCTTGCATCAACCTTTGCAGTTTGACCATCTCCTTTTTGACCTATGTATCTTCGCTCGAGCTGTCCACTACCCTCCTCAACAGTTATGAAAGCCAACAAGAGGCCTTTTGGAAGGCTCCTTCCATTGGAAAGAGGATAGATGTCTTTGTGTCTGCTGAAATCAACTTTGAGCACACCGAAAATAAGGTGCTCGCTTTCCTGTTTTGGATGCTGACTATGGCCACTAAAAGGGCCCCTTGCCCAGTATGTGTCATGGGCATTTGGCCTGAACAGCCCGGACTGAAGTTCAAGGGCTGGTGAAGATTTTGCAAGTTCCCGGTACAGCCCTGGAGAAGTGAGCAGTTTTTCTCTGGACACAGATGTGAGAGGTGTATTTCGGGAACCTGTCGATTGACCTGATCTTTCGTCAAGGGTTTGACCGAAAAGAGGTTCTACAGCGCTTACCCAGTGCTAGCTCGAGGGAAAGTAGGAAGAAACGGGCCGTCTTCAGGAGCAGGGTTGTTCTCGGGCCTGTCGAAGGGAATCTCTTGGAGAGTCTTGGGGCCGGCCCACTTTGGTATCACGCAAGGGGATGTTTTCCACAGTCATGTTCAAGACAGTGCTGATGCATCTCAAAGTCATTTCAAAGCCACAGACACTAAATTCCGCTGCAAATGCAGCTGGAAGCGAAATTCCTGAATTCCTTCAGGGTTCCGAATGACATATCCCTTTGCAGTCATTTTACAATGACCTGCCTGCACTAGTAACAGTTTGATTTTCTTTGGGCACCACGTTTGAAGGAGAACTATCATCTGTGCCATAGTCAAGGAATTCCAAAAACCGTCGCCACCCTCCCCTCGCTCGGCTTGAGGAAGGCAAGGGACCTTTGCCCGTGCAAGATCTCGAGAAAGAGTTCGAGGTGCGAAGCCCCGGGATCGGCCGAACGCGCAAGGCTTGGCGAACCAGCGCCAGAGCGCTCGAGAAAGGGAAACTTGGAGCTGAAATTATGGGCCAATGAAAGCAACCTGTTTCAACAAACTGCTTCAACCATGTCTAGGCATTGGCAACAATTTGTTTCAAGGCAGGCAAGGCGGGGACAGATGGGCTCGACCCCAACCTGCTGGTTCCCAAATGAACCTTTCAAATTGGGGGTACTACGGTAGGTTGCATAAACCATTCCGAATCGAGCTCTTCCGAGTTCCTGCAACGATTCTCAAAGCAAGCGACAATATCATGATAGACTCTTAGTCTGAGGAGGTGGGGCCGAAGCATTCAAAAACAAGGGTCCACAACACCCCAGTATTCCACATATCCTGTGCGAGAGAGAGAGAGAGAGATAGATACATAAAACAAACACACGCACACGCACACACACACACACACACACACACACACACACACACACACACACACACACGCACACACACACACACACACACACACACACACACACACACGCAGAGCTTTGTTTGTGGTGCTTGATCTTTTCCTTGTTGCTCCCTCGTTGTTTCCTTTGGTTTTTCCTCGGCTCTGGAGGCAAGGTTCACAAAACCCCCTCCCGCCCCAGGCGCAGTGGAAGGTGCCCTTCAACCTCCAGCAGGCGATGGATGCGAAGCGAAACGGGTCCCATTTGAGCTCGGTGGACATATTAATTTTCGTGAAATTGGGTTTGCAGCAACAAAGGAATGCGTAAAAGTCAATGGATTTTGGGTGCTGCTTTGGGATTGCATGGCTGTTTCGCCCATAGATTGTGTGGAATGTTCCGCAAGTCCTTGAAGGCACATCGTTTTGTGCAGTTTTGTGTTTCCTGCTCTTTCTTCGGTCTGTTTGGTAGGGCGATCAAAAGGAAAACCCACCTTTTTTTTGGCGGGGAGAATCCGAACCCGAGGGGTCGAACCCGAGACCTTTGGCTAGCCATTAGTTTGAGTGAGGCGGGCTTAACCTCCAAGCATCTCCCAAAGCAACCGTTGAAACTACTCGAAAACAAAGCCGGATGGAGGTGTCCGAACGCACATGGACTGTGCTTCGTAGGTTTCTAAATGGTTGTTTGAGGACTTGAATTACTTGGAATTAGGATCCATTAGATGTCTTGTTCAGTATGACACTGCTGAAAAAGGGAAGCTTATAAGTGAAAAAGGCCCTTGCCCCGCACTGATGTGTTGACTTTATCCAGGACCAGCCTACCAGGGAGCAAGTTGGTCCACCTGCAATGCCGTCTTTCCCCGAGAGGGACAGAGAGAGAGAGAGAGAGAGAGAGAGAGAGAGAGAGAGAAGGAAAAAGAAAAGAGAAACAGACACAAAAGAAAAGAAAAAAGCACACATGGTCAGTTCATGGGAGCTTTCGGGTACCCCCTTCTTGTTCTCATAACAGCCTTACCATGACACAGCTGCTGGACTTCGTCCTTTTTCGGAAGGCCATCTTGGTAACTATTTTGTGCTTGGGACATCCATTCAGGTTTTGTGTACTGAGCCAAGTTGGGCTTTGAAACTTTCCGTCAACCTCTGCTGTGTCTGTTGGCAGGTTTCCTTGCAAATCGTAGTGTCCTGGGTCTTGAGCACCCAGGGTTCCGGTCTTACGCTAAAAGTGGATCTCTCTTTGATCACGATACTGTCAGGAATCCGCAAGAATTCCTCAAGTGTTCAGAAATCTACCGTTCCCCTGGTGGAAGCGAAGTCCATGAGGGGGTGAACCTAGACCTCTTGAATTCCCAACAGGAAAACCCGTTGTGGGGGTAGTTGAATGGGGAAACCACAGGAAAGCAGCCCGTTTGGTGCATACCTTTTGGACTTTACATATTGAGGTTCACCAAATAACAGCTGCGGTAGATTTGGGCGACTCCCCTTGCGCTTGACTTCATTTGCCAGGCGGGTGAGACAGACGTCTTCGCCTTCCTCCAGAGGTGGCCGAGCAAGGCAAGCGGGATGAAAGCCCAACTTGTTGTGGTTCTTGCCCTTCGGTTTGACCTTCGGTCATCGGTAGCACATACAGAACAGCCCGCCATGGGGCCTGCGTTGGCGAAATACCTGAAAACCTCAGAACAACACGCACCAGTACACCATTCCTATGTACTCTGGAAAGGGACATGTGACCCAAACCTCGAGAAAACCAACAAACACACAAAAACCTCGAGAAAACAAAAAAAACTGGAAAAAATGACAAGTACCTCCAAGGTTTTGGTCGGGGGATTGTTTTTTTGTTGTTTTTAGTGTTTTTTTTGTTTCTCGGCACGTCCCGCATTGTCCCCTCAGTGTTTCCGAGTATTTCTTTCGTGTTCTCTCAGTGTTCCATTATATAGCATTCCCTTACTATTCTGAGAATTCCCTGAAAAGTCAGCATTGTTCCGTTAATACTCCACAAATCTTGCCATATTCCTTTAATATTCTCTTGCCCCTAGTGTTCTCTCAGCACTCCCCAGTATTCCTTTTTATTCCCCAATAATTCCCTAGTATGTTCCTAATATTCACAATACTTCCCTAGTATTCCCTTAATATTCCCCTAGCATTCCCCTTAGTATTATCCATTCCTTTAGCACTATCTCACCCCTAGTAGTTGTATTCTCCTAGTATTCCCCTAATATTGCGCTAGTATTCCTTAGTATTTTCTTGGAATGCCCCTAGCATTCTCCCAATATTCCCCCAGTAACCCCAGCTTAGTGAATACTATGAAAATGCTAGGAGAATACAGACTACTTGAGGAAAGTTAAGGGAATCTCGGAAAACACAGAGGAAATACCAGAGGGTACACCAAGAGAATGTAGGGGAATACTGAGGGGAATACAGGGGGTTTGCTAGGGAATTGCCAAGAAGCTGCTAAGAAAAATATTGAAGGAATATTTGGGGAACACTTGAACACCGAGAGAAGGTTAGGGGTATACCAAGAAAATACAAAAGGAGTTAGGGGAATACCAGGAGAATACAGAGAATATTATGAGGCAATATGCGTGGAAAATTCGGGGAGTACCAGCAGAATACTAGGGGAATGATAAGGGGAATACTAGGGGTACTAGGGAAGCACAAAGGGTGAATACTCGAAAAGCAAAAGGGGAGTACTGAAAAAGCATTTGGGAACAGTTACTAGGGGAACACTGAGGAGATACTAGAGGGTATACAAGAGAGAACTAAAGGAACTTTACGGGAATACCAAGGGCATGATAGAGGACTACTGGGGGAACACAGATTACCTGGAGAATGCTAGTGAACTACCAAGAAAATTATTGGGGAACATTAGGGGAATACTGAGCGAATATCAGGGGTATACTCAGAAAATAGCAAAGGCACACTGGGGTAATGCTAGGGACAGAATCACTAGGAGGGTGCTAATTACGGGAATACTGGGGAATTATGAGGATCTTTTGGGGGGATACTGAGGGAATAGCAAGGGAATCCTTGGAGAACACTGATTGCCAGAAAGCAGGGGAGAGGAAAGATGCCTGCAGTGGGTGGCCTTCTGCAAAAAAATCACTAAAGACCGCATGTGCGAGAAAGGTGCATCCACATATGCCAAGGTGTAAAAAATGCTGATTTCAAAAACACAGGCCCCATGGCGGGCCGCTCTCAGCACACATGGGGGTGTTTGTTTTAGTGGACCTCCCAAAATGGTGGTGTTCCTTTCTGTGTTCCCTCAAAAATTTGGTTGTTTCTTTGGGGGAGATGTTTTTTTCTCCGGTACCTTGATTTGTTCTTTTGATTGGGTTGGAGTGTTTGTCCAATCCGAGTTTGGCACCCGTTTTCCTCAGTCAGAAGCAACCCAAGCAACAAAACCAAGTTGGGGTCAAGCGCAGGGCCTTTGTGAGGGTGGCTTGCCTAGACCTGGACCTCAGTGCTGCCCTTGTTTTCGTTTTTTGTCGGAGAGGGATTCTCTTTAAAGTCAGCTACCAAAACGGTGCATGTGTTCCCATGTCCACTAGCGGTCTGGCTAGATATGGCAAGTACCGTATCAGGGCCAGCACGGAGCAAGCCCTCCCCGTTGTTCCCTTTTTTGTTGGTGTGTCCTAAGATTGGTCAAGCTCAGAGAGGCTTCCCATGGTTTCCCTTTGTCTGCTGGTCAACTCATGTTCCCTCTTTTAATGACACCCGTGCTTGAAACCCGCTTGAGGTTCCCTTGATTTTGGGAATGGTCGAAAAGTACAGCCGGATTTTGTTGTTTGCTCTTTAGTGGACCACAATAGCTATTTGACTTTGGGAACGTGACAGGTTTGCCACTAAGTAGGAGGGTAGGACTTTCAAAGAGAAGCCAAAAGAAGAAGCGTTGCAATGTTGGGGCGCCTGTATTTTACAACTAACGCAAGCACAAGAGTCTTGACTTCTTGGAAGTCCACTTTGAGAATCGTTTTCCCACAAAATGTAGGGATGCGATTGACAAATGTTCTAGTTTTTGTTCCACAGTTTCCAAGGAAATTGGCGGGCATCACTTCCATGCAAAATTCTGTCCACCAAGCCTTCTTGAGGGCGTTCCTTCAAAAACTGGTTGGACTCTTGTTTTCAGCTAATACCGTTTCACCCGAAATTCCCTTTTCCAACAATGAAGTTGACACGAGCGTTTCAGAAGTCAGTGATCTTAAGGCAAAGGCCTGTTCACTATGATCCTTGGGAGTCAAATCGACTTCCGTGCCGTCGCGTAGGTGGAGGTCTTCAGAGAGAGTGGGGTCTATGCCCGCAGCCCAGCCCGACCTCTCCGATGGGGAGGTTCTCCAGATTCCTTTCAAAAGGAGTGTTTGGGTTCCAGGTGAATCTGGTAACTTTTGACATGTCGTTCCCAAAGATGGGGCCTCCCCTAAAGCTGTTTCTGGTGGGGCAAGAGGGGACACGCCCACATGTTTATTGGGCAAACAACCTCGAGAACTATTTCACACCATGATGAGGGTTTTTCTCATGGGGCTTGCACCTCATTCTTGCTTAGTCAGTTATTTTACAATTACGTAGTGGATTCCTTTTGTTTCCTTTTGCTGCACTAAGTAGGGCTGTCCTTTTAATGTATCGGGCAAAAGCAAAGAGTCTCCCCCATTCAAAGGGAGGCAGGTCATACTTACCCACGGGCAGTTTCGCAGCTCTTTGCATGCGCTTGCGTTTGTTTGTGGCTTGCAAGAAGTCCCAAGCTGGTGGCAAACAGCAAAGATGCTTACAGGGAGCCTTTTCGGAAGCACAATCTGAGAATTTGGGAAGAGCTCACCGCAAAAAGGAAGAGCTCACCGCAAAAAGCAACTCCGAAAACAAGAACAAAATTAGCCAAAAAGAAGGAACCAAAAGAAGTGGTGTGCCTTTCCAACTTGTCTCAGGAATGGATTGGAACACCAGATGGCCCGGTTTTCTTCACATCCAACCAACAAGAGGGGGTAGCCCATTTCCAATTCTTGAGTATCCTTGGCAAAACGCCAGGTCACCACCTGGATTGTCCACCTTTGTAAAATGGCTTCCCTCAGTTTCGCAACCGTGGCTTCTGGTTTCTTCATCAGGTGGTGACGTTGGCCAAGAAGCCCACGGAGAAGGCCAAGGCCACAGCGGTCAAGGCCGGGACGGAAAGATGTGGGCAAATCGAGGAAGCGGGGGGGTGTCCATGCACCAGCCAGTTGCTGTTAAGCCCATGAGCCGTTTTGGGAAAAACGGTTCCTCTGATCTATATTCGCACCCCATTGAGGCCTCGTGGGGGTTTAAGCATCACCAAGCCCTTGGGTTTAGGTCGCTTTTGAACAGTCGCTTGGTTTGAACATCAACCTGAAAGCTTGCAGAGGTGCAACATGGGTGTGTCCAAAACTGGAGGGACCCCCTTTGGGTGGTGGTCTGAAGCAGAACAAGTGAAAGCCAAGCCGATTTGTTGGTCTCCTAGTCAAGTGTCCTTTTTGTCGGGGGAGCCCTTTTTCTGGGAGCCTGAGATTTATGCCGGGATTACTGTCAGCCAACAACATCTCCGCGTCGCCGTCCGAAAGTAACGCAAGGCAGAACCTCATGTCTTGTTGTTTCTCTTGTGGGAAGCGTCCAACCTATCCACTTGCTTATCACCCACTTGCTCATGAGCAATCTATTCCTCTGTTTGCTCGTTGAGCTGAATGTCTCCTTCCTCGTGAGCAAACTATGCGCACATCACACTGAAGCACGGGGCATCAAATAGGAAGTCCACATGTGCCAGATTGGTTGCTTGCAGACTTGCAGACTTGAACTGAACCGCCCAGGAGCTCGATATGCCCTCGGTGCACCATAGGGGGAATGCGCTGCAATATATATATATATATATATATATATATAGGTGCATACAAACGTAGACAGAAGCATGATCGGTTGACAGAATGTGGGAAATGGTGACGCCTCTGCGAGTCGCCCCTTTCAAGGTGACACAAACCCATGCTGAAATCTAAACAGGACCCCGTCGTTCTCACAACTCTCTACGTGCACATGTACAGATACTTAAATAGGCATCTTACCGCTTCAGTTTGCAATCTCCAGAACTGTTGCCAGGTTTCTTCATGTTGATCTAGGGCCGAAAAGTTTAAGCCTTGCAACTCATAGGTCATATGCATCTTCTGTGTAGAAATCTGTACAAATAAACTATGGACATTTGTGTAGTCGTTCACTCGCAGGCGCCTCCGGCGAAAGCTGCAGGCAGGGCCCAGCGGAGGCTTTTTTTAAATGAACAGAAGTTTTTGTTTGGATGGTCTTGCTTGAATGATAGCCGTTTTTGGGCGTAAAAGCAGATTCAAAAAAATACTGCCCACTTTGGCGGGGTTGTGTTTAAAGAAAAGAAAAAGCGAACTCTCATGGATTGGTCGCCTTGAAACAAGGGCAAAGGGATCCCAGTGAACAAATTGGTTTGTCTCTAAGCAGAAGAACACCCCCAAAAAAAAAAGAAGTGTGGTTTTCCTTACAGTTTTACCCTCAGCAAAGACACGCTCACCATATTGGATGGTGTCCAAATCGCCAACCTACGCCCAAAACAGCATCGGCGATCCATTTGTGGCAGTCAAAAATATGCGCAAGTTGTTCTCTAGAAACTCAGTGTGGCATCCCTAAAAGACACCACAAGTGTCCTTTTCAGCCGGTTGTCCGTTTGGTTCCAATCATCCATGGGTGGGTGCTGCTGGTATGTATTGTATTCGAAAGCGTGCATCTTGAAGGGAGATCTTCTTTTGGCTCCCCCTTTCTGAAGTTGCGTCTTGTATGTGCAGAGGACTCTTCGAACTTGAGGTCACTTCACCGAACGGGTGCCACATTGCAGCTGCTTTTGCTTAGCTAAAAAAAAGGGGTGGCTGGAAAACCTGCTGCGGTCCAGCAAAGCCTGGGTTGCGAAGAAAGGATAGCAGCGACCATGCAGCATGTTGTTTTTTGTTGCAGGGCTGGAATCCCTTGGCTAGGTGCTCCACGCATTGCCTTGAAGGAAGCCACAAGACGGACGGTTCGATGTTCCGAGGCGTCAAGCTCGAGAGGTCCTGGCTTGCACATGGAACCGCACACTTGCATTGCAACTCCGCTCAAAGAGGGAAGCAAAAACCGGCTTACCTTTCGAAGTATGTGGATATTTTCCACAGCGGATTGGGTGTGTGCGGTTACACTCTGATTTCGAAGCATTACATCGAGTCCAAAGAAGTCTGCGGCATTTCTAAGATTCGTCTGGGCCGTAGTGGGAGGCACTGACAGCATTGGTTCAAGACTTGGTGGGAACTAAGTTCCTTAAATCCAACCTTTCGGCTTTTTGACCTTGCTCTTTCCTGGTTTTGGTCTAGGTTAAATTATTATTCCTGCACTTGATGAGCAAGTACCACTTCCTTTCTGTTCAGAGAAAATTTCTTTGGGGGTGGCCCTTTGTGGGTGCCATGTTAAGTTGCAAGTGAGTTGCGACCATTGAAGCAGATGGCGTGTTGACCCCGCTTTTCGTCTTGTGCTGAATAGCTCATGTGTGTGCGTACTGCAAGAGCACAAATTTGGGCAAGCTATGGCGAACTGATGTAAAAGCAAAAGGATGAATATCGACCTCGCGGATTATTCGGGGTGTGCTCTTTTCCACAAGTGAAGAATCGAATGTCCTCCCCCCATCAACCTGAGGTTTATCAATGTTCTCAGTAAAGATTCCTGACCCCAAGTCCACGAGGCATCACTGCAGCGCCTGCCTCAGCGAGACAGGGGGAGTGGGGCACCAAATCATGATGCAAGTCTAAGGATTGAGATTGAACTCAATACCTATGCTTTTCTATTCCAAATGACTGTAGTTGGCACATGAAGATGAGGGACTCAAGCCAGTTCATTGATTTACAGGGGTGTAAATCATTCCTCCTTCGCAACACCCCTGGACTGTACTAGTGGCAAAGAATAAGTTTTGGCCAATGCACTCAGGAAGTCAGTAGTGGTTTCTGCTGAGAATCGGTACAGAGCCCAAACTTGTCAACCGCAAAAGGATGCGCAAAGAACAGGGTCTGATTGGGCTTTCATCGAAAACCCTGAAAGTTTACTTTTGGCACAACGGACATGTTGAGATGTGGCAGTGGTGTTGCCTGGTGTCGTTTTTCCCGAAACTGAAGCGCGGCCCAGTCTAGACGAGACCATGGATGGAAATGATCATTTTTTAATCCCATGCGTTGGCGACACCAAGTGAAATTCCTTTCAAAATGAAAAAGGTAGTCATAGGGGCAGGAATCGACCGCTTCGGTATCACAGACTGCGGCACCCATTTTCCACAGCCATGCCCGGGCTTCTTGTCAGACGGACTGGCTTCCGAGAATCTGGGCGGCTGCGCCTTTTCACCTTCCGCTTGAATTGAATTCTTGTCAGTCTCAGTAGGTGGAGCGGGCTTCCCCAAGAGACAAGTGTCAGTTCCAATGATTATTGGAGGGAGGGTCTGTGTTGCGTTCCAAAAATGGTAGGATATCCAGGCAAAAGCTCTTGCCAACTTCAATCGGATCTTTTTGGGGGGATAGTTTTTAAATCTTTATTTGCTGGGTGAGCTCGCCTTTTTGTTGGGTGACGTAAGGGGACATGGGAACCCTGCGCCCGGTGCCGTTTGTTGAGGCGGCGCCCGCAGCAGATAGGCAGGGGGAGATCGAATTCTCACGAGAATTTTGGCGACCGTTGGTAAGCCAATTACCCATCAAGTGCTGAGTACCCCCTGCGTGTTCCATTGGGTGCTGCAGGTTGATCGTCCCTTTTCAACATGTTCAGAACATCCTTTTTTCCGGCTTGCACTTGCGCTTCTTTGCTTCGTGCGCCAGCTTGCAGACCTTATTCGCCTCGCATATGCCTCTTCCCACACTGCAGAGCAGCTACAAAGATGCCTGCCTCGGGTGACTGGTTTTCCCTGATTAGTGTCTGAGGAAAAGCAACATCAAGAAGAGTGATCAAGAACATTTGAAGTTGCATTATGGCCAACGTCAATATGTATTGGCACTTGATGTATGGGGATGATGTGAGGGGAAGACCTCACCAAATCTCCAAGCTTGACTGTTCTTGTGTTAGACCTTCGGCCTGGTAACATGGTCGCTTCCTGCCAGCATGCTGACGAAGTTATTCGCTTGTTGCACAAGTTTATGAGTTGGCACGGAAGCCACAATCAAAACCTAGGTGGGTGAAGCTGAGAAGGGCAAATCCCGACTATTAAAGGGGGCTGCGGCAGTATTAATTATCTTCATGGTTTTGGGTAGGCTGCTTTCATACCAGGTTATGATTGTCCGCCAAATATCAAGTGTGCCTTTCGTTAAGGCTTGTGGAGAGCTGAACATGTCCAGTGCGGCCGGGCAGTTCCGATCAATTATTTCAATTTGTTTTGAAGGAATTCAAAGAGGAGAAAGCATTGAACAAGGGCAACCACTTGTGCAAACTCTAGGGGATCCATGAAGCTTGTTCTTGTTTTCTTTGGCAATTGGTTGTTGTTGTTTCACATCAAGGTCTGGCATCAGGGTTTCCCCAATGTGAGCCACCCCCATTGAACCGTGACTATTGATTGAGATCCGCGAGTTATTTGTCAGTCATTCATCCGGCGTCAGCATTCAGTCAGGACAGTACACTTGTGAATACGAGTTGCAGCAAAGTGTTCTTCTCGCTTCCATCCGTGCACAAGGAATCCGTTTGCCAAGCCAAGCAGCAGGGCAAACATGACCCTAGCTTTGCTTGAGGGATGGGGTTGGTCAAAGGTTGCTAGGGAGGCTGTCAAGTGGGCTGCGGAGTGACCCACTTTCCGAGGACGTTGTTTTTGCGAGACACGTTGGCTATGGAGAGGGTTCCCTCTTTACAAAACATGCCCACTTTAGTGAAGGTGCACGCGCCATCTTGGTTCTTTCGGCTCCTTTGCAAGATCCAACTGGTTAAAGCTCACACGATTCTCGCTGCACTTACCCATTTTCGAGAATCTTTCTTGTCAGAGAACTGTGGCTTCTTAGAAGAACGAGCGAAAGCTTTAGAATGATTTCACGGGTTCGGCCCCTTTCTTCGGGTCGGAATCAGCTCGCAGGCCTGCAACAGAGGCCGGTGTCGGGGATCCCGGAATCTCGGGGTCAAGCCTTCTGGGAATCCAGGCTTCACGTGCCACTTTTATGGATCGGCAAGACTTCTGCGGGATTTACGTGGGCATACAATCTGTGCTTAACATGGAGAACCCATGGTTTCCCTGCGACTCAAAGCGATGTTCCAGCCGAGCTTTTCCTAAAGGCATACCCTTCCACATTGACATTTATGGGAAGTTGCATCTGATGTGCTTCTTCCAAAGAGGTTTTTCATTCAGAAAAGCGAAACAAACCGGCAATCCTGGGCCGCCCTTTCCATCGCCGCCGATTGCCTCTCCCGCAGCCCCATCTTTCGTTTTGCACATTGGGTGTGCAGCTCCCAAACGTGATCGGAAGCGGGACCCTAAGCATCAGATTCTATTTCTCAGGCGGACCTTGTCATTGTTATGGAGCGTACGAGTAAACAAAAACAGTCGTCGCACCCCTTATGGCAACGATATCATGTGGGGGTCCCATTGTCGGATCGCATCAATTTGCTTGGGTTTTGCTCCAGGCGAGGCATAATAGAGCTCAAGAGTTTTTACCATGTCTGCATTCAGGGAGGCCACTGAAACTCCCTGAAGCATGATTCCTTCTCCTCGGTTCTCCCTTTGCCAAATATCCTGCTTGCACGTTTTGTTGTCTTCAAAACTTTGTGGGTGCAACCCATCACGACCAGTTCTCGGCCGATCGCCCTTTTGCGCGCAGGGCGACAAGGGCCAGCTCTTGGAGCTGAAAGACAAGGTGCGTTTATCGCCTCGGTCAACCCGACTAGCCCTGTGTCACAGGGCTTTGCCTTATGCGATATGGAACCCCCTGAGAAAATGTGTGTTGGTTTGCTTGAAACCATCTACGTTATCCTGGCAATGAATTTGAGTAGCCCCTCAAAATGGGCTCCACGATGAAGACTCACGCCCACATTGGGCATCCTTCCTGTTTGAATAAAGGACCTCTCGGTCCAACTTCCCAAACCTCATACCGGACCCCATGTTGGGTTAACCACTGACACAAAACCACATCCAGCTACGGAAGGATCCTGGTTCGATACCATTTATGTGGGATGTTCGTTGTCTGCACCCACAACGACGCTTTCCATCCGAGCAGTCACGTAGAGACGCCCACCCCGAAATTCCAGAAGCTCACGCCATGACGAGCGCGGTCAGATGAGTGTGCAAAGGTTTGGGCAGCGGTTTATATCGATTGTCAAGAGGTCTTAGTTCCAGACAAACCTGGAGCTGATGCGCGGTATCGTGTTCCCTTTCTTGGCTATTGCACCATTTGCATGGCGGGCGGTGTCCGAGCCACAAGTTTGTCCAGCGCAGGGCTGTATGGCAGAGAGCAGCGCCGAACCTCGAGCCATTTGGAGTCCATCGGTGGTCATGTCAGGAATGGTCAGCCCTGCCCTCTTGCACTTGCAAGATGGCCGGTTGCAAAAGGTCCTTCGCTGCAGCAGCAAGGAGGCAAGTGCATATGCCAAGGCTGTTGGTCTTTATTTGGAGATCATTGCAGAGGTTGTCAGTCCTGGTCTCATTGACACGCATGTTCACCTTAGCCCGCTCAACCGCACTTGGGAAGGGTTCACGACAGGCACACGTGCAGCTGCCGCTGGCGGAGTTACGACTGTGGTGCTAATGCCCCTCAACTCGCTGCCCCCCACAACAACTCCTGAAGCGTTGGAGATGGAGCTGCAAGCAGCAGCAACTGCTCACCTCTATGCAGATGTTGGGTTTTGGGGTGGAGTTGTTCCAGGCAATAGGAAGCAGCTGAAGCCATTGTTGGAAGCTGGAGTACTTGGTATCAAAGCTTTCCTGTCTCCATTGCCTGCCGCTGCTGGCTTTGAAGCTGTTTTGCCAGAGGAGTTGTCGGAGGCGGCCCCTGCTATTGCGGCTGCTGACGTCCCTTTGCTGGTGCACTCAGAGTTGATGACCATGGGTGAGATAGATCACTTGGTGGCTGCGGCAGGGGGGTCCACAAGGTCGTTCGCGACTTTCCTCGCTACCAGACCAAGGCAATTTGAGCAGCGCGCTCACCAGGCTTTGGTGGAAATCTTAGATAAAACACCCGGTTTGCACGTGCACATTGTTCATCTTTCCGATGCCACAAGCTTGGGCTACATTGCCATGCAACAAGAGAGACTTGGGGCAAATCGTTTGACTGTGGAGACTTGCCCTCACTACTTGCTGCTTGCTGCAGAAGACATCCCCGAGGGCGATACCCGCTTCAAGTGCTTCCCACCTATTCGAGAGGGCTGGAATCGTGGCTTGTTGTTTGAGGGTCTCCTGAACGGAACGATCTCTACTGTTGCCTCTGATCATTCCCCCTGCGACTTCCCAATGCGGCAAACTGAAAGTGGAGACTTCTTCAAAGCATGGGCAGGGCTCACTGCCTTGCAGTATTCCCTACCGGCGACATGGGCTGCTGTCGCTCAGGGGGGTCTCTTCGAGAGCAACGAGGCAGCATGGACGCATCTGGCACGTTGGTGGAGCGAGCAGCCGGCTGAGCTGGCCGGCTTGCACAACAAGGGCAGATTGAAGGAAGGCTTCGATGCTGACCTTGTGATATGGGATCCTTTTGCAGTGACAACGCAGGAGCACTCCTTTCACAAGCATGATGGCTCTGCTTATGCTGGACGTTTGCTGCGCGGAGCGGTTCGTGAAACCATCCTCCGTGGTAAGTCAGTGTACAAAGAAGGAGAGCACGCTGCCGATGCTGGACGGGTTCTCCTTCGCTCCTTTCAAAGCGTGCCGATGAGATTGCCTCGAATATCTGTGCTAGTCTCGCCTGGGTTTCGAGATCGCCACAGGCTCACTTTGCTTGACGTAAACAAACACATCTTAGAGTTATCAAAACAAGCCATGAAAAACAGCGAAAATTGTACGAAAAGGACTGCTTTCCCTTTCGTCTTCTTCGAATTTCGTGGTGGTTGGGGAGTCCGCTCTCAATAGCAGAGTTTCGCATGAGCCCGTGCAACGCCCCATCTCCTTCCGGGTGCATGCCAGTGTTTTTATGTACCTACAGCTGACGTTGGTTGACATTGATGAGACTGCGCTGCAGTACTGCCAAGCCCACAATTCATGGCATTGCAGTTTTGCAGGCTTTTCATGCGACAACTACCTTTCGCGGCTGATGTTGGTCTGCATTGGCATGCGGTTTCCCAGCTGTGTTGAGGCAGGCAGAAGTTCTTTCACAACAAAAGGGACGCCCGTTAAAGTGGCACTATGCTGGTGATGAAGTTGAGTTCAAGGATCGCGTACTCACAGTGAAGTTCATCAGTCTCAAGCTCCCGCATCCATCGGCACATGCGGCATCCAAATGTTCTCAAGACGCTTGCTGTTTTATAGGACTCCGCGTCACCGTTGTATTGGTTTGTTCTAATCGTTTTGTATGTTAGAAACCTTGTCCGGTTGTGTTGTCGTGTTTTGTCAGGTTGGCTGTTGGAATTGATTATTTTGCATTCACGATGTAGATGTATTGCAGGTGTGTTTGCTCTGGAAAGTAGCATGTACTAGTTTGCTTTGAATGGTACCTCATACGTGCAGTCCGCAGAGATTCCATGCTGAAGTGGGTTGGACGTGACTCCTGGCGCCAGAGGAGTACCACGGGTTGGATCCTATTTCCAGCTCACTGGTTTTCCCGACAGGTTGCAACACCCGAATCCAGTGGCATCATGCCCCCTAGACACTTCCGGTCTTCACAGTATCAACATACAACGGTTCAAATTATGTTGTTTTATCTTCTTTTGTGGTAAGCCGGAGTGCTGAAATTTGCAGCAGGCACTCTGCCTAGAGAACCCAGCTGTCAAAATATTAGGTTCACTGTGCTTCACTCATTTCAGTCCTCTTCGAGCAAGTGCAAGTCCGAGATCCTGGACCACCGGAAGCACATGAGAGTATGTTCTGAATATTGTGTAAGAAGCATGATTTACGCTTTCGCACAGATTCCACGACACCTGGTCACATCGGTGCTAGTTTGGCTCGATCTTTGGGATGTCTTTTGTTCGGCTTTCAGATTGCCCTCTCTCGCAAGGCCCAAGGCATGCTGCGGAGCATGCGGGAAATGGTGGAACAACAGGAGGCCGGGAAAGGATGGACGGGCACTCACCATAATACTTGCCGGGGTTGGGACGGTGGTGATGACACTCTCCTGGCGTTTTTGGTTGTCGCCTCATTCTTGTTTGATTTTGTCTGGAAAGACCAACAATTGCAGTACAGTAGTGTGTCCCTGTTAAGGAGCCTCTGGCATTCAAAAGATTTGCGTGAATGGGGGCGAACTTGCCTAGAGGACAGAACAAGCTCGGCCCCCATCATGAAATTCCATACTTGATTCTTAGGTCAGGTCAACGAATTACAACCTGGCTTGCAAATTTCGGTGGATCGGGCCAAGTCTACAAGCTAAGGCTCCACTCATCGCGTCACCAGCGCCCGAGATGGCTTGAGTTTCTTCTCCCAGCTGGGTGCTGGGGACAATGTAGAGAGGGCTGTTTCAGCTGGTTTCTCAAAGGCTGGCATTATTGACCTGGTTGGGCGGTGGCGAACGCACCCTTCGAAGAAAGATTGGGGGATGTCAGTCCTTAGATGTCAAATCTGTAGATCCCCAGTGCGAAGAAGTTGACCCATGACCCAGAGACCTGTATGAGAGGGCCTGCCAAGGAAGGACGTCTTGGCCAATCCTTTAGGAGGGTAAAAGAGCGAAAAACTTGTGGGCTTTCGGATGCCAACTGCCAGGCGATGGTCAAGACCCTGAACCAGCTTTGCAGTTAGGCCAGGCGTCGAAATCCGGCGCCTAGGGCACCAACCATGAGCACCAATCCAAGGAGCAAACACCTGATTGGAAAGAACCATTTTTGCAGATCGGCAATTGTGAGTTTTGTGTTCTTTGCTAGTCATCCCTTTGCGATTGAGTGGCAGGCGTCTCGGTGTAAATTTGGGCCTCGTGGCCATGTGCTTTGAAGTGCGCCTTTTGCTCTGGACAGTTTTTTTGCAGATATCCAAAACAGTGAGGTCGACACATGTTTGAGTGGCCGGACCAACCCCAACATGCTGTTTCTTTGGATTGCAAAACCTCTGTAATTCACCATGCGTGACTTGCCGAAATTGGGTTGATGCCAAAGCAATTGTCAGTGCTCTCCGGGATCCCTACAAGCAATCTTCCATATATTTTAGACAATTGGATGGTTGAGGGCAGCTACTCGCCTTTTGGTTCATCTAGGCCAAGCGCCATCATATGAGACAAGGTTGGCCCCATTTCCTAACACCGCTTCCCTCGAGGAGCTCAACCCGCGACGAATCCGCGGCTGAATCCGGCAGCAACTTCAGGTCAAGGGCAGTTTGGAGTTTCAAAGGCATTATTACTGTTTTCAGGCACGCAAAGTTGAAGATTTTAGTCGCAGGGGAAATATGCACTTCTGAAGAAGAGATCCAAGCCGTTCTGGGACAACGCGGCAAGTTGGAAGTCCTGAGCTGAATTCGAACATTTCGAGGTGTCACACCCAGAGAAAGACGATGCCAGCCTTCAACTTGGAATCATGCATGCTTCCTGCAAACACTGGCATTTGCCTGAAAAACTATCCTTTTCAGATGCGATACCTTTGGGTTCCGCATTAGTGTTTGGGAGAGTGCATTTAATATTGCAGGAAGGTTGGCGATGTGAAGGCACAATGCGACGAGCCTATTATGCTATGCGGAACATTGAATTCATTGATGATTTCTATGTATGATTTAATATGACGACATCTGATCCCTTGCCTCTGCCTACCCCGCAGCAACTTCCTCCTTAATTCTGCGGATAAAAAGAGGGACTGCAGAAACGCGCTATTTTGATAGCAAAATACAGCAAACGCAGATGTCTATTCGAGTCCCAATTCTTTTTGACAAGAAATATTATTGCTGCTGGGTGTAGGGCTCCGAGTAAGTTCTCTAAGTTTTTTCAGTAAATAGTTTGAGCTCTACTAGTTGATTCTATTGTTTTTCCTTTTAACTATTAAAGACATGTTTCTTGACTAAGTTGACGATGATGTTCCGATGACTAAATAAGGTTGATAGTTGGAAAGGAATTTTGGTTGAAAGATAATTTGGGTAAATGGAAGAAAAGAAAAATTAGAAGATGGGTGGTCCGAAAATATTAATAGTGGTAGTAAGTTCTTTTAATAATCTTAATAATCTTAATAAGTGTTTTGCGTAGTTGTGCGTGCGTCTGAGCAAGTTGTTGGTGCGAGTTCTTCTGAGTAAGTTGTTTTAAGCAAGTTGCTTTGAGTAAGTTGTTGGCACGATTTCTTTTGAGTAAATTTTATTAGTAACTTGCTCTGAATAAATATATTCTATTTGCGAAATATTTTTGTATCTAAAAATTGTGATTGTTTAGCCGGAGTTATGAAAGTTTATTTTGTATATGATTTTGGAATTTAAAAAATTCCGATATTTTAGTCGGAGTAGTGAAAGTTATATTATTTTGGTATGAAAAAATATGATGTTTTAGTTAGATTTGTGTTTTTTTTGTATTTAAGAATTGTGGTTTTTGAGTCGGAGTATGAAATGTTTTTTGTATATTATTTTGGTATTGAAAAATTGTGATTTTTTAAATAGTTTATGGTTAAAAAATATATAGGAATTATATATATTAATTTTGAATTAAAAAAAAATATGATTTATTATTGTTTATGTTAAAGGATTATATGGATATTATAAAAAGATGAGATATTTATATTTTGATTACATTAATATTTATAGAAGAAATGAATTAGAAAATTTTAAAAATATATTTTATATTTTTATATGTTAATGTGTGTTTTATAGATATTATATAAATAGATTAGAAATTGTAAATAAGCTCGAGTTGATTGTGTTGATATTCGAGAGAATTTTGTTAAATCGATTTTTTTATATTTTAATTAAATAAATACGAATTTTTCGAATTTATATATATTGATTTTGTTGTTTTTTTATAGAGGGTCGGATAGGCTAATTAAAATGATTTGTTTTACGAATATATTGATGTTTTTTTGGAAGAATATAAATTCGATCTATGATTAAAATCTTATTTCGATATTGTAGAAAGATCGATATAGTTATTAATATCGTTATTTTTATATAGTTGTTTTTTATATTCGATTTTATGTACTTGGCTTTATGTACTTGGCTTTATGTATTTGGATTTATGTATTTGGCTCTATGTATTTGGGTCTATGTATTTCGCTCTATAAATTTGATTTTACATAAGTGATTTTATTGGTCCGAGAATTCTATATTTTAAAAAAAAATATGATATTTATGGAAAAAAACAAGATTATATTTATGGTTATTTTATTAGAATTATTAGTAATTTGTTTGATTAATTAATAATATATATTTATTATATTGGTATTATGTTGATTTTCTTATTGAAGATATTAATCGTAATTAAAATATATTGTGGAATGTTTTAGGCTTTTCTAGTAGTGTTATACATATTATGGCTAAATGATCTGGCAAATGGTTCAGTATATTTCTGGATATATTTATTTAATTAATTTTTGATAAAAGTATTTATATAATTTAAAGTTATCGGTGGGTTTTTTGTTCTTTGCCTTCTTATATGTTGTTTATATATTTCCGAAACCCTCGTTTAAATAATAATCTATATTTGATAATTATTAATTATATTATTATATTATTTACTATAAAATATTTATATTAGTATAAAAATCATTCCTTGATATAATATATTTATTGAATTTAAAAATATATAATCAAAAATTATACCAAATAATATTTAAAAAAAAAAAAAACTAATATAAATAAATGAAATTCTATATTTATATCTAATATACTGTTTTATAATATAAATATATTTAAAAGAAAAAAATAAAAAAGAATTGAATTATAAGATATAATTTTATATATATTATTAATTATATATATATAATATTTTTTATTTATTGAAGTAATTTGAAAATAAATATTTGATATTTAAAAAATATATATTTGAATCGATTTCAAATCAATTCAAAGATTTGGTGTTTGCAATTAAATAAAACGAATGGATATAGTCCAAATTAAAATTCTTAATAATTGTATATAAATAGAAATTTGATGATTCAATTAGGCAAATTTTACAATTATGAATGTATTATTCAATAATAATATAATTATATATGTTATTATAAAAAATAAATATTTAGTGTAAAATTATTATGTTTTATGAAATTTAATATTTTAATAATATCTTTTTATTTGTTGTTTTAAATAATATTATAAGTTATGTTATTTTTGATTTAAGTGATTTTATATCTATTCTATCGTCATGATAATGCTATGTTGTGTTTAATTTATTCTTTGATTTTTAAGTATTTAGATTCCTTTAAATTATATGAATTGTTTTTTTTATATTTGTTATTTGAAATTGGTTTTTTAAATTTAAAAAAAAAAAAAAAAAAAAAAATATTCATAATATTAATAATAAGAATGAAGCAAAAATATTCTATCACTTCAATTTCTAGATATTTAGATAATCATACTCACAAAGACAGAAATGACCAGATCTGCAATGTCTGTGGTGGATCAATCACGTCGGTGCTGGAGGAATGTGTAGCAAAGCTATTGAATTGTTGGGATATGGTGTTCTTTCAGTGGAATATCCTAGTCAGTCGTGTCAAGCAATCGTATTCTGTGTTTTTTTAAAATGGAGAGTGATGGTAATTGTTTCATAATGAAAATGGGTGGTGGTTTCCAAATAACAAATGTGTATATCATATATCAAAAATCAAATTGTTAAATTGATATTCAATGGTAATTATGAACTAAGAAATTAAATTATATGATATTCAATATATTATTCAAGATCATTTATAGGAAAACCAGTCAAATGCTATCTGCTATTTGCCATCACTTGATGTCACCAGTCTGGCTTGTATCACAGCCTCTTGCTGAGGCCAGGGCTCCGCGTCGACACCACTCAGGGCATTGGGTCAATGCGCCAAGAAAGGAGGACCGTCCAGAAAGAAACCTATAGCAAGATCCATCTCAAGCAGAAATGGTAGGAGGCACGCCCAATAACGTCAAGAATAAATGCAAGAGAATTTTTTTCTGAAAATGAAATCAAGGTGGACCTGTAGCGGTCGCCAATGCGATATAAATACCCAATACACGATGAAACACTCGCCAAAGAAGCCATTACCAGTCAGATGACGGACTATATAAAAAAACATCTATGACGGATTAGAAATACGAATAAGGTATTTAACATGTCTATTAACATCGCAAAAAAATTTGGAGCACGTGCCGTATGGGGGGGATATTGATGGGCTAAGGATGCGGCGACCTACGGGATATCCACCATACACTATGTTACAACCCCCCCCCATTCCATCCTACAACCCATTACAAATCCCATCGTAACCGTATCATTAACCCATTATCAACCCCCATATAACCCGAAAATACTCCCTCCTCCAGTTTTTTAACCAGATTAATAACACTTATCCTTTCTTATAAAATGTATAACGAAGCATAATTTAATCCATCAAAAAATCATGTTGTATAGCCCGTATCTTTGTCGGCCGGCCCTTTCCATTACCCTGGGAGTCTGGAGGAAACATCCAACCTGGGCAATGCAATGAATCCAAGCAAGGCGCATCATTCCAGTATTGCAATATGGACCTAAGAAAGCAAACTTTGGACCAGTATCTTGCAAAGGACCTGACATGATTATCGGGCAATCACACAAAGTGTTTAAAAAGACTATCCTTCTGCCTATGACATATATGCACAGACTGTGAAATACATTGCAAATAGTGGGTCCAAGTTAAGGAGAACCTTGATTGAACAGGTAAAACCGACAACTGTGGCTTGCTGACGTCAGCAAGCAAAACCGGACGCCCATTTGCCTTCGCCACAAAAGTCTGCATACATGGCTCCTTTACATCTGGGAAAGCATGTTTTAAATAGCAGACAAAGGGTACAACGGACCCCAAACGTCCTCATTCGCCAGGTTCACCGACCTCCTGTTTTGAAAATAGTGCGTCTGCGTTCCGTAACTCACTCCTTTGTGATGCGCGTTGCTGTTGCAGCTTCTGGCGCTTGACTGCCTCTGAGAATCTTGCATGTTGCCTGCAGACCTTCCAGTTTGTGCTTTAAAGCATGCACGTGCAGCTTGTAAGCGCTTAAAAGCACAACATGTTTCCTGTGTTCTGCAAGACGCGGGTGCTATTAGCACAGATCCTACATCCTGCAAGAGGGGTGTGTTTGCTGCCTAGTGAGTTTTTTGCATTTGGCCCAGATTGCCGGCGCCTGCAGCGGCTGCGCCACCACCCCCACGACCGCCTTGTGCGGCTGAGAAAGACACAGATGCAGATATAGACATATGTACATATATATATATACACATATACACACAGACGCATAGACATGTACGTATGATTTCTGGTCTGCCTAATTTCAAAACAGAAGTGCGCAGATGGCATTAAGCTTCAGACAACCTGCAAGGCCACCACCACCTTTGACACAAGTGTCTTGTGCAACTCTGGAACCCTTGGATCATCACGCGTTCATGTCT